AAAAGGTATTGGAATTTTCTGATGGGGGCAGATCCCCAGGACCACCCCCCTGGTATTTGTTTCTTCTTTAAAATACTGCCTGCAGTCCTTGAGTATTTAGGGTAACACTGTTGGTTATGCAGGGCTGCACGCTTATAATCAGCCAGGATTATTTAACACTTATAAATAACTGACAATATTTGAATATATATGGAAACAAAACTCTGTCACCAATAAATTCATTTTCTATCAGTTTTGAATGCACTGTATATTCTATCTCAATATATCAAAATTTGGAAGGTGAAAAAGGTTTTTATATTCATCAGGACTGCCATAGGGTGGCTCCCGATGAAATGTTCCAACGATCCTGATAGCAAACCTGATCCACCAGGACTGCCTTCGGGTCTGTGGCGTCTCTGAATAACTACACCCGATGGTGTTCCCAACTGGTCGGGTGGTGTAACAATTGTGCTACTGGGTGGCGAGTCAGAAGCTCTGTTACACAATTACGTACCATCTCCATGGATAGTATTCCTCGTTTAGGATATTATTCCTTGTTATCCCTCGTTTATCCATCATTTCACATTAATGATGGGTTTTTCAGGAAAGAATCCTAATTGTTAAACAATAGATACTTGCACAGTATTCCACGCATCAGCATGTTTGGCTGGACGATGACCATTATTCATGTGAATTTTTTTATCGTAAATAGGGAGGTGGAATTTAAACATCAACATCATAGAAGTGAAATATTGTAAATATGGCGATTACACGTACTAAAATTGGCATCCCATAGTAAAGGGTTTAAATGGCCGGCATCATCAGTGGAAATTTTCTGTAGGGACAATGACCATCACCATTGGAATTTTCATCTTCCTTATGTTCCACTTTGCTCATACTGGGGTGACAGAGAATTCTTAGCCACTGGATAACCCTTAAACAGTGGTTAAGGACTCCTTAATCCCCCCCCCCCGCCACCACAAAAAAAAAATCTGGAACACAAAACATCCATTGATATTGACATCTACTATCAATTGATGTTGGCTGCCGTTTGAGGGTTAAATAACAAGGGTTAGCAAGTATGGGACAATGACAAGCAAAAGTCCCTTGGTGCTGGTGTATAATTCCCAATATTCTTGTCCTCAATCAGCTTTGAACCTGGATTTCATGGGTGGTGTATGTAAATAGCTTAGCATATCCACTGTGTTCTGGTCAATTGAACTTATATTATTTTTTATAAAAGTTATTCATTAACTGTTAATTCTCCTCTCTCCCCCCCCCCAAAAAAAAATACTTTGATGAGTAAATTTCAAGCTTATGCACAAAGATTTTATTTGTAACAATACTGCAAACAGCATGAAACCAAACAATAAAATCCTTTTTGATTAAGATACCTGTAATTTTAAGAAATAAATATAAATTAATAACAATAAATGTACCATAATCACAAAACAATATGAAACTAATATTTCACAAACTAGTATATCTAGTTTATTGAAATGCCACTACAAATGCCAATATCCTGTTATATACACGTTATGAAATTTAACTCATTTATGCTGTAAACCCTCTAACAACCACTCCTCTGAACCAATATTATAAATGGAAACCCCATAAAGAAAAATAATAAAATATAGATGATTTATCGTCCTTTGGTCATCTACCACTCAAAAATCTCAACATTTAATCCATCATCATAATCACTGTTTTATGTTCATTTTCCATGCGTGTGTGGGTTAGCTGTGATTACCTGATGATAGCTCTCCATACTGCTGCACTCTCTCTCTTGCAGCCTTTCTCATCAGGTTCTTAATTCTGAGGTAATTTCTTACAACCTCTCCTCATGTCATTCTTAGCCTATCTGTAGCTCTCCTCCCTTCCACATTCAGAAACCTGCATCTCTTGACCCAATTGGTCTCCTCCATTTTCTCCGCATGCCCAAACTATCTCAGCCTACCTCAGTGCAAAATCTTACCAATATTCTCAATTAGCACCACATAATATGTTAACATCCCTTAAATTCCTAAACAAACAGAAATCCTCATTAACTAACTTCTCCAGTGGAAGATTCATGTATATATATATATATATATATATATATATATATATATATATATATATATATATATATATATATATATATATATATATATATATATATATATATATATATATATATATATATATATATATACTTCATTAATATATATATATATATATATATATATATATATATATACATACATACAGTGGGGTATGCTATAACGAACGGATCCTACTACGAATATTCCTATAACGAACGGTTTTACCTATAAAATTGAGAATGCTATAACGAACGCAACTCCTACAACGAACGCGGATGAATACGGGACTATTTCGCCTGGCGCATGAATATTGTTGTACCGCGACCCACAACAAGAGCGTCAGGCGCCATCTTTGTCTCATTGTGTAGCCAGTGCACCACTGTTATTGTTGAAATTTCGTCTTTTGATGTGGAAATTCGCGTTATTTGTATAACTATTTTGTTGTACAAGTATACAATTGTAACAATGAGTCGTCCAAAGCGAGTGAGAAAGCTAATAACCCTTGAAACTAAGAAAGAAATTATAAAGAAACGTGAGAATGGAAGAAGCATTGCGAAACTTAGTGATGAATATGGGATGGCTAAATCGACTATATGTACGATTTTGAAGAATAAAGAGGAGTTAAAAACTGTGCAAGTGGCTAAGGGAATCTTTAGACTTAGCAAAGCAAGGTGTAATGTGATTGAAGAGATGGAAAATTTACTCTTAGTTTGGATAAAGGAGAAAGAAATGGCAGGTGATAACATTAGTGAAGCTATAATTTGTGAGAAGGCTAAACAATTGTTTGAGGACCTTAAAGCCAAGACTCCCAGTGGAAGTGATAGTGATGTGCCAGTGTTTAGGGGTACCTGCATGCTGAATAACACTAAGGTAAGATAAAGTACCGTATTTTTTACATTTTCCACAGAATTTTTTCAGTGTTAAGCGGTTGTATTTGGGGCCCTGGAACGGATTAATCCTATAACGAACGAATGCTATAACGAACGAGGTTCTGGAACCAATTACGTTCGTTATAGCATACCCCACTGTATATATATATATATATATATATATATATATATATATATATATATATATATATATATATATATATATATATATATATATATATATATATATATATATATATAAATATAATTGCATTTCTATATCATGCAACATTCTTATATTAAGCATTATGCAAGAGTATTCATTTTATTACATAAAACAACTGATATTTGTTAACCAAGATGTACCCTAACCTTAACATGAATAAAATATAACTATATATCCTATGTCTAACAATGATTCAATATGAAGAATGCCAATCTCCTAACCAAAGAATGAATAAAGAATAGAAAATCATAAAATGATGAAGAAACTTACCAAGAAATATTTGTGTTGTTTTATAATGCCTGTGAAACACCCTCTCAAACATGTAAAAATTTGATGATACTCAAAATTTGATGATACAGTGGGGTATGCTATAACGAACGGATCTTACTACGAATATTCCTAAAACGAACGGTTTTACCTATAAAATTGAGATTGCTATAACGAACGAAACTCCTACAACGAACATTATTTAGAAAAAAAAAATTCTTTTTTTTCTTTTTTTTTTACTAATTTATTGTTTTTTTATTACAAGTATTAATGATGTTCTTTATTTCAGGGGTTTAGATGCTTATTTATGCACTTTTTTAAAATTTTTACAATTTTATATTATATTTTTCAGTGTTAAGTGGTTGTATTTGGGGGCCTGGAACGGATTAATCCTATAACGAACGAATGCTATAACGAACAAGGTTCTAGAACCAATTAGATTCGTTATAGCATACCCCACTGTACTCAATTTTATAACTGGCATTTGAGGCGAACTAGTTATCTACAAGTAGCTGTCTGGAGTTTGAAGAATATATGATCATCATACCAGTCTCTACAATACAGTATACATGAAATGAAACAATATTTATGAATGATTATGGAGCATTCTAATTACAAAACAAAAGTAAAAATATCAAACCTTTATATAGATTTGGTAATAACCCTTCATCTGTCTTGAACACATCTCATTGGTTCTTACACACACATTAAATATTAATGACCAGATCAGACTTTGGGAATTGGACCTTGAAAGTGTCTCTTACATCCTGCATCTCAAAAGGTGGCGAGTAAGAAGAATAGTTCAAGTTAGAAGTAACATCCCATATTCTGGCCAAACACCATCCTTAAACGGGGGGATTAAAGTTAAATCATAAGAGTGAACTGCTATAAGTACGTACAAGTCTTGAACTTGATGCACTCCAAGTTGTTGGGAAAAGATATATTCCAGAGACATAATATAAGCAAATATATAAAAATATACAACAAAACATTTTACTTTCACTTAGTAAATTAAAAAAATTTTCAAAAAAAATGTTCATTCACAGTTTGTAGATCATATGCTGTATCCCATTAGATACATACAGTGGTTCCTCGATTAACGAACGGTTCAATTAACGAATTTCGGTTCACGAATTAGCTCTCATAAGGATTTTCAGTTCTATTAACGAACAAAACTTCGATTAACGAAAGCCTTAGGAGAAACACACTTTGTTGTGCTCATCAGCCGATCAGCTGATCGGCTAGTAATCGGTTCTATGTTTATATTTGTTTCCAGTGGAGTAAATATCAAGAAAGTTGTGTTCTTGAATATTTTTGCATTTTTTATATTAAAATTATTGGTCATTATAAATTTAGCCATCCAAGCTCTGTCTACATAAAGTTTTTCAACTAATATTTTGGCTCGATATATGTAACTTTATTAATTTATTTTTACTCATTTACATGCACACACTGTCCTCAGGGCAAAGATGTACTGTACATGTACTCAAAATAATGTTCTAAATGATTTCTAAGATTTTTGTCTAGTGCAAACTATAGCATGTTTATATTCAAAATGATCACTATCTTATAAGAATTCCAGCAATGTAAATTATATTCTCCCCAGTCACTTCTGTGACATTTAGGGGATTTTTTGGAGTGTTTCTGACTTTATGCATTTTTTGGCTTTACTTTGCATGTACTTTTTCTGTTAGTTGGAACCAAATACCCAATATCCCATTGAAATAATAGATTCAGTTAACAAAATTTTTGGTTAACAAACAACTCTGTGGAACGAATTGTGTTCGTTAATCGAGGGACCACTGTATATTTAAGCATACTATATAATAAATAATTGTTATATACTATCACAGCACTAAGAGAGTCTCTTATTATTAACATTGAAAATAAGTTTTCTAAACATTAGTCTTCAACATTCTCTTCCTCCTGAGTAAGCAGTGTTTGACGTAGTTCATCATGCAAATTTCTTGCATAGTTGATCTGCTGTGCCACCTACACAATATAAAAAAACATATTTTTGATTAATTAAAAAAATTTATAAAAAATAAAAAAATTCATTAGGTGAATTTCGTATTACAAACAGATAAATATATGGGAAAATAGGGTTTGGTTCCCAAATGACAAAAATACTCAAATATCATACCCCAGGAAATCTTATGATGCACTCAAAAGGTTAATACAGTATTGTATAAAATATTCTGCAATGGTATAACAATTCAACAACAAGACCCCCCCAAATCTATTGTAAGTATGTACTATATCTGAAGATATATTTCATTATTTAAAGTGGACTGGTCAATACTCACCCGGCATGCAATACTTCTAGAATCACAACGAACTTTAGGTCTTTTGTAAGCCAGATCTGAGGGTCGAGAGATACCAAGTACCTCTGATTTGTCTGCTTTTAAGCTCAATTCAATATAGTGCTTTTGGTCTGCTGCTGGTTCCTCAGCTTGAAGTACTACTGGCTTGCACTGGTACAAATCTCTGCAAATGATTTATAATTTTATGAAAACATTTAACACCTAATATTAGTTTAATTAATCAAAAACTAATTTTATTACTAAGAACTTGTTCAAATGTCCTGCAAAACTAACTCATCCATTTTTTTAGAATCATGAAAATATATTGTAATTTAATTCAAGATAACTTTCATTCAAATGCAGTTAGAATTATCAACACTATACCTGGGGCATTGGTACCAATTTTAAATAAAAAAATTTTTTATTCCTATAAAAGGATTGAATCAAATACAGTCAGTTCGCCTGTAATGCACTAGTTGCATTCCTGAAAAAGACAGTGTTATAGAAAAACTGCATTGTCGTAACCTCTAATTCTATGGGATTAAGGGGTTAGAGGGTAGTAGGTTCGAGAACACAAGCATCAATAACAAATCTGCTTTACAATTTGTTAAATTAGCTAAACAGCTACTCCTCGACTTACAACATACTCGACCTATGACCAGCCGGACATACGACTGCCTCAGTCATACCAAAATTTTGTCAAATTACGTATTTTCGAGTGCCAACGTTAGTGATTGAGCTGTGTACTGACAAAATTTTTGTTTGTAATTCCCTTTAAAATGGCTGGCAAGCTTAAAAGTGAGAGTTTTGTGGTGCTGAGAAGAAAAAGAGACACCCATTTTAGATTTTCTATGTATTATTTAAGCATTTTCAACTTATGACCTGGATTTGGGTCGGGGAGGAGCTGTAACTAGTTTTTTTTATCATAACTGTGTTTTTGTTTGATATTATCATTCATTATTAGAATAAAAACATGAAAAGGGGGAAAAATGTTTGTTACAGCGTGTTAGTCTACATTGTTAAGCGATACAAAATGGAGCTGTGAAGGAGGGTGCAGAACAAAAAAGATTAAATAATACAAAATGGAATATGACTCGCTTAAATGCTTTTAATGCTAAAGCTTTTTTAAATAAACTAAATTTAACCCTAAGAAATGTCAATAAGCTTATAAAAATGTTTTAACATTCACCACAAGAAGAAAAGATAGTTGTTTGAGATGAATTGTGTAGGAGCTGGAGTCAGTCTGATGACAGAGGTGAGGGTTCATACCACTTTATCATATCTAGTTTTTGTTCAAGAGTAATAGCATTTCATCGTTTTACTTCACTCCCACTACCATCACTAACTGAATACTTCACACCCTTGCCACTCATTGTAATTAAAAGCAATAAGTTGATACAGTACAGTACTTGTACTAAAATAAAGCACAGACCATAATAACACATCATCTGATGCATATGGATGATAAACAAAGAATGCGGCGGTGGCAAATCCTGCCTTGTGTGATGCTACACTGATGCCACTTCATAACCACTTATTTCTACTTGAGTGACATAGTTCTGTTTATTTAATCGCATTAAATCCAAATCGCATCTGTCGCGTATAAAATGTGTTTATAATACATTCATCTCTTTATAATCAAACCACTCTACGAAAACATGCATTATAGGAGAACTTACAGTAGCTCTGTATCATTTTATAAATAGCAAATGACTGGATCTCAGAAGTGTACTTACTACAAATGACAAAAAAACAGTTTTTAGGGAGATTTTTTTTTTCTAACTTGGGTATTGCCCTCATCAAAGTAGCCTCTCCAATATAAAATAAATAAAATTACCAGTTTCAATTTAAAAAAAGACCAAAGGAAGTTGGAAAGTGCTTTTACACACGTGTCACATCAAGTCAATACAGTGCTGTTTTAATCATGCTTTGCCAAGTTCTTGATTGTGACAACCTCAAATATTTGCCCAAATTAGATAGAAGAGCAAGTAAACTACTAATCCTAATACCCTACTTCACTGGATTTGCAGGTCAAAGAGTACACTGATTTTGGAAATGAATTACCTTGTGTGGAATTTAAACTAAGGCTGCTCAAATCCTTGGAAATCTTAATAAAATTATAAAAAAAAGTGTGGAGTTTTCCCGTACAAAGCAAAATTTCATTTCAGCCAATTAAAAATTATCTTCAAGAGATCATTATCAAAGCTTCCCTATTATATTGGACCTACAGAGTTTCTAAGGCAAATATATGCCTCCTAGAAATTCACAAAATATACTCAGGTGGAGAGGGAATACAGTATATTCTTAATAAAAGGTACAACAGAGCTTAGAAAACTGTTGTAGACTCAGGACACATTTTACTCAGAAAAATATGTATGGGAAACAGACATTCCCCTCCATATAAAATGTCACAACTTGACTGACTTTTTAACCCCTAAATTGATACCATAATATTACTTGAGTGAAGGTTTAAACAATTTATGAGCTTTGGTGAAAATAAATTTAACAAAACTCAAATTAATGTGCAGAAACCACCATGATGGATAGATGGGGTAAATCCATAAATCTGCTCCACATTCATTGGCATTATATATTTGTCTAAATTATAAATAGTCATGGCAATATTGGATGACTTACTTATAAAATACAGTGAGTACAGATGTAGGTGGAAGGGAAGACTCAATCTGACTAAATATTCGCACTTGTTCACTGGAGATAAGTACTCGTAGATCTTCCTCTCCTTCCCGTAAAACTTCATATCCCAAGAAGCTGTTGGTAACACAATTTATTTTAATATGTACATAACGAGAAATGCATCATTATTATTAACATTAAGTAAGCAATTACCTTTTCTGTACATACTGGTATAATGGTACTGTACACTCGCACCAAAAAGTATCGGTGCAGGGTGAGATCGACGAGTTCCGAAACAATACGTATACACTGTGATATGTCGGGAAGGTTGGTAAGTGTATCCTCATAACCCCCCCTTCCACTAGGTGTTGCCATATGGTTGACAATCAGGGCTGCCAACATACGGCTGGAACAACTCGCCTTTCCCAATACCTATCGTCACTGGTCTCAAAATGTTCACACTACAGTATGCACCGATACTTTTTGTTGCGAGTGTATGTGTGTGTGTGTGTGTGTGTGTGTGTGTGCAGAAAAGATTGACAAGTGCACCCACTGCCATAGATCTAAACATAGAAAGTGCAGGTGGAGGGTATATTAATAAGTGGTGATATGAGCTAAATGCAGTACTACAGCACTCATTCCTTATAATGGAATTCCTTTTAGTGGAACAAATTTGTGCCAGCATTTGCTTCTCCATCTAGTGGAGCCTTCTGCTAAATGGAGAGAGTTTCTGGTAGCACACAAGTGGGCTTGCATCGTTTGATCATTGCAGATTATGATTGCCCCAGATCTGGATAGTGAGACATTCTGGGAATACAGGCAGTACCCGACTTATGACAGGGATATGCTCCGGGACCCTGATCGTAAGTAGATTTGTTTGAAAGTCAGAACAGTGTTAATTCCATAGTTTAGGTTAGGTTAAAGCACAACCCTGTTCATACAAAACAACAATAATATCTTGTACATAACAAATGTTAAACAGCATAGAATAATGAAAATACAGTAATGTAAAAAAGGGGATTTTAATTACGTACCAATTTTTTTGATGAATATATTGGGATCCCGTTCGTAAGTGCGGATGATCGTTACTCAGGGACTGCCTGTTTGTGCCATTTTTGGAATAGATGAAATGGAAGTACTGTAGCTCTTATATAATCTAAAACTTATTCTTTGAATGAAAACTTATTTGACAAGGATTTTTATGATGATGCCTCTGATATCACTGAGTGACAGTGATAATATAATTATTGAACACATTGAGTGACGATGGTGTTAGTAGTACCTGTATATCAGAACTTGTAATATACACAGGTAAATCAACGTAAAAAAATTTCACCTCTGGGTGCCGGGTTCAAACCCAGGCCACCACAGTTGGTAGTCAGGCAGCTTATTCACTGGACCATCTTGGGCTTAAAAGCTCCCTTACTTTAACTACTCACTGTAGCTCAAGGTTCCCTGCCCACCACTGTGAGCCTCGAAGGCCTTTAATTAAATTCCCGACACAACGGTGTTGTCAATATCCAGTGTGTCACTGGTTGCACCAGTGAGTGAAATAAGTGTATTAGCCTTTATTCACAGCATCTGTTCTAATTGTGTTAGAAAGATGAATTTCACCATAATGATCCTGAATAAATTCTCTACAAGGCTATTCCAATAAAAGCTACTTAAACAAAATATTTCAACATGATATAATGATGGAGACCATTCTTTTATGAAAAAAATGTTAGAAATGTTAATACCGGAGTCTATAAAATCAGTTCTAATTAAATTTGAAACACCATTTTTTTAACCCATATAATCCCAAATAGTTTTTCTAAAAGATTGGTTAAAAAAAAGTATAAACAAAATAATATAATAAATAAATAAATCTATTAGTTATGGGTGTGTGAGGCATGGAATGGAGCCGTGTGTCAAAGCCAAGATGATGGAATTTTCCATCCTGCACTGGGAAAAGTTTTCCACTATTCTAAATGACGTATCTCAAACGAAGATGTATTTATTTACTTTAGCAAACACCTCTGCACATGTAAAAATATTGTAAATAAACAAAATATATACCATTATGTACTGTACTGTATATACTGTACTCACCAGCAGATGCTGTCATTTTGAGTGTACAGTAGGTATACTGCCCACTCTGCTGATAGTAATACGCAGCTGTAATAACTTTTTACATCTTAACACTTGCGATGGAAACAGAGTAGGGGATAAGTGGGACTCATGTTACTGACCTGACCTGATGCAATGTCAGGTCACTCATTGTATATAAACTCTTCCCTCATTTGCAGTGGTAGGGTGGAGGATTAGTGGTTTCATATTATTGACCTTCTGATGCAATATCAGATCACCCATTTTCGGTTTGGGGGATTAGTGGGTCTCGTGACCAGAAGATGTCTTGAATAAAGATGAAAGCGAAGGTGCTCCAGTGTTTCCCATTTATCGAATGTACAGTGCAGTATAAGTAACTGTAATCACTTTTTTTGCCATAATACTGCTTTAACACTGTATTCTTGACTGATTGTGTCCTGGTACAGTAATGTACAGTACTGCACAACACAAATTGTATGCAAACAACAGCAGCTAGTGAGGGAACAACCTTCTACAATGGCAGCAGAATATGAACTAAGCTATCCAAGCAGCTAGGCCACCCAAGAGCTTGTCCAGCAATTCATACCTTTGAAATATCTCTGGGATTTAGTGAATATAACAAATAACTTGTTGACGAAGAGAGGCGTCGACTGGTATGTTGTTGTGACGGAGGTGGCCAACCTGTGGTTGGTTTCAGCTGTAGCAAAGTGCAACGTACAGATTTTCATCGCTGGCACTGATAAGTCCAGACCTTGGAGCTAGTCTGGCCAGGTGGCCCAGGGTTATGGCCAGAGCTATGGCCAGCCAAGCTGCCGGTAACTATAAGTACTAAGTCAGCAATACTTCCAATGGGGATGCAGTGCCCTCAGAGATGTAACCGTATGTTTAGTAGTAATGAAGTAATGTGAGATGAGACTTCGTACAGAGAGGTTGCGCCGACATGCCACTCACCATGAGTCCTCACCAACATTCACTGTGAAACTTGTGGACTCTGGCGAATTAACCCTTAAAAGTTTCTAAGTGCATTGACCAAGGAGGTAAGCTTAAGTGTATTTAATAGTGAAACCTTTCACAATAACTAGCCATCTCCTTTGATATGAATGGAGTTTATTTTGTTAATAAATGTAAATAGTGTAATTTGATATTTACATTATCCTGTGATAACTTTACACCACTTATGAGTAAAAATATACACAGTGAATATATAAATATTGGAAGCATAATGTGTTGTCTAATGGTAGACCCTGCTGCCATATGGCATCACAAAAATTGTGACCAAGTCCCGCATCACAAAAATTGCGACCAAGTCCCAGGTTGCTGATTTGATAATTAAGAGGATATAACCTCCTGATTGGGTTTTTTGAGATTAACTAGAGATAAACAATAAATTTAAAAACCCAACATCTCTAACCTGGAACCGCTCTGCATCAATTATTCCGGCCAACAGAGAGATTACCGCAATTAATATGGCACTTACATTTCATTTCCATTATGATCAAAGGAAAGCAAAAGTTCTTGTCCAACTGCCTGACTTCCAGAATATCTTGGGATCATTCCATTCAGTCCAAGAACAAGTCTTGGTTTACGGGTGCGTGAAGGCATCTTCTGAAAGGGACTGAAAAAAAAAACAAATGAAATAACCGAGAGCTTTGCTCCTATGCATGGTGATATGATCTTATGATAACAAGTCTCATGCATTTTACAATGACTCAAGTCAGGCATATTTATTAAGGCAAAAACAGGAAATAGAGGCTTACCAAGCTTTAACACTTACCTGGGATAGGAAATATTAACACTAAAATGGTCACTGATGTAAATTATGTCATCCCTTGTCATATGCTAACTGGTCACTGACGTTGTTTACATCACCTTATGCAAAGGTCCCATAGGCCTTGCTAAGGGCTCCTATGGGTTGAGATCTGTAGAATAACTCATCTGGAAGTATTTGGCAACTCGTGCTTATAAATGGATGTGCAGGATCTGGCTCATACCCTTCCAACTGACCTTCAGTTTGACCGCGTTATCAGGAGTGATGGTATGGCCTCGCATCGCCCCAGGCCCCTTTCAAATGAGGAGATACAGGCCTAGTTGGACAATATTGTGAACACTGAGATCAATCCAGGGAGTAATTTGAGTTTTGAAGACAAAGTGGATGACCCAGACTACATAACAAGCCAAGTGAGTGAAGAGGAGACACGTGTTGCCCTCTTGCCACCCCCTGCAATACTCATCTCTCACTCTACTTCTCTACAGCCTGTTTCCTCTCATTGAGCTGATGTTGATTTTAAAGACTTCAGGGGGGATTGACTGTCTCCTCCAAGATGTCAGGGCATCATAGGCCCCAGGAAGAGACAAAAGAGTGAGCCGACGTTGAGCGTGGTTCCTCATCAAGTCCACCATCCCCCTCTCATCATTTCCCGCATCTCTGCTCTTCTCTAATGACCAGTAACCAATCTTGCCTGTGTCCACCACCATTCTCTCCCTTTCTGCTGCTGGCCCTGCCTGCCATTCTTGCCGCCGCAGAAGGACTGCTTGTCAGGTTTTGCATTGTGGGTGCCATGGTATATCCTCACTCCTACAGACGACACTAGGGATGATGATGATACTGTTGGAGGAGACGATGAAACATAAAAGGACGACAAAAGATGGGAATGAGAGGACATGGAGGAAAACTATGTCCCTGACCAGCATCCATTCCAGTTGGTGATGTCAGGCATCCAAGAACCATCCTTAACAGCAGACAGCAAAGTAGGCTTGGGCTTAGTTCGGGCGTTGGAGCCTGGAGGATGAACCAGGAGTGTACCATGACAAGCGCCTCCTCCAGTCCCCCTGTTGAGAGGGGGATGACTTGTGTGGGGCTGGGTCTTTCTGTCTCACCCCATGGTTGAAAGATGTGTCTGTGACTCAGATGTAGACTCAGCCAATGGACCCACACCAGAGTTAACCACTGGAGATGGCTCCCCACATGAAAAATCCATAGAGGTGACCCCTGGAATCCCAGCTGCCAGTTAAGTATCCGGAAGGGATCAGCCGACATCTTTGGGGAGGAGATGCCAGCCTGAGCTGACATCTGTTGGACTCTTGGAGTGTCTGGGACTCAGAATTGGGTTCTGAAGTTGGTATATGGGCCTCGCTTCCTTTGCAACAGTTGGGTGATTCCACCATTGAGACTTCGGCCGAAGGATCGTCCACCTCCAGAGACCCTGAGGACCCTCGATAGAATTTTGCTGAAACTTTAGCTGTACCAGGACGGCGGGTGGGGGAAAGACGAGGAGCAGACAGACCTCAGCCACTACAAGAGAAGTATAAGGAGTGACGATTGGTGGCATAGTCATGGGTGGGAGCTGAATTTGACACAGGTACAGATGATTCTCAGGTCGATGTCACAAACAGTTCACCAAGTTTTGCGTCTGGACAGAAACTGTGCATAGGAGTCCCCATGACTTGAGATTGATTTCAGTGCCGCAGTTATGGCTTCAGAGAAGTTCACTTTGTCTCTCATGTGGATATGGAGGATCTCTCACTACAGTGAAAACAGCAAACCGGACCTGGTCATTTTTTACCTTCATGGGCCTTATCTCCACAGTTAACACATACGAGTACTGCAGGAACACCCTGCTGTAACTTATGACAAGTGCAGCTGACATGGGCATACATCTGACAATGGAAGCATCGTCTATGGTTTGGGATGTATGGTTTCACCTTAAGGGAGATTCAGGAATCCTTGATAAGAGGTTAGAAGTTCAAAGCAGTCAAATATTAATAACAGAGTTGGTGTAGGGTTAAGAAAACCATTTTCTTTCTTGCATTAACTGTCTATTTTCACCACCGTTTGGACTCGAAATTCCTCTAGAAGCTTCTCCTCTAAGTATTGAAGCAGCTCTTTAAAGAACACTGGTTGAAGGTAGCATGCGGAATATAGGAGACTGGGGCACACGGTACCTCAGACAAGGTATGAAGTCGAGCACTCTCCTCAGGAAGAGACTTCTACTAGGAGGCTACATACCATCTTGCTGAGTGGATATTTTGGGTTCTCTTTCACAAATTGATACAAATGACATGTGGACATCAAAAATGTCCAGGTCCATTACAGGCTGGCCTTCCACGGTACGGATCAATAGATATTTGGCAAAATCCACCTGTTTGAACACACCTGGTAAGATCTAACGGGCAGAAGCGCCATAGAGAGTGCCAGGGCCAGTGGGCTCTTATACTTGGGTATTTGTCAGGACCCAGAGCCATTTTTTTTAACCTTATAGGGCTGTAATGTTGCAACTGACGATCCAGAGGAGGGTCCAGGGATGGGTGCAGGGTTGTCAGGGGGATAATCTGGCCGGCTAATGGAGTTTGTTTCTTCCATAAAAAACACAAAATAACTTCACTTCCCTACCCCCTCCTACAGAGTCCAACAAGGGTAGGTGAATGCCAGAGATAAGACCCTGGTAACACCAGGGGCAGTGGGGAAGTAAACCAGCCAATTGACTTCATCGGGCCCAACCAAGCTGCCCGTCTAGCTGGAATAGGGGACCTTAGAGGTGTGTTACTAGCTGCAGGGTGCAGTGCACAGCGCCGCTCAACCTTCAGGACTCCCGTCTCAGAGCATTATGGGTCGCCACGCATGGTAAACACATGGGAGAGTATTTCAGCCCCAGCAGGATAGGAGCCATTTTGTCTGGACCCTCCTGGTGGTCCACTCAGGTTGGGAAACCTTTCCCCTCCCTTCGAGGAGGGACATAAAGCAAAAAACTGTATCAATCTATCTCTTTTGGTTTTGTTGTCATAAACATTTAAAACTGGAAAAGGACTTTATGAACACCCTGTACTTACTAATTAATAGCTAAAATAGTCTTTGTAGAAGGGAAAATATTTCTTAACATATATGTTAAAAGGCTTCAAAATGCAGATGTAAGTGTCCTGCAAATGCAGCTGTGAACGGTTAATATTAAAAGAAATTTCATGAAAATTTAGAGACATCACTAGTATTTAAAGTCAAAAATTAAAACTGTTTTAGCAAATAAATGCCTTTACATAAATTTTAGAATAATATTATTTTCTAAAAAAATAATCTAAAATAACATCTCAGCACATTTCAATTCAATGAACAACAAATCTACCATATTTCAGGAGAATTCACTTAAAACTAGAGATGATTCGACTAATTATATTGTTTACCCTATTGTAAATTGGTTGAAGAAACAAAACAGTGTAACTCACTGTAGTACCCTAACATTTACTGGGAAGACCATAATCATATAAAGCAAGTAATTGTAATTAAGAGAAACAGGAATAGACTGAAGAATATGACACTATAGTGTAGTTGGTATTACATTTACAAATATCACTAATATCTTTGTATGTCTAAAGAAAATATACAGTACAGTACTAACTTTTTGCTTGTGTCACGAACTGCCAGAGATGTGCTGCTTGCCAAATCCAATAATCCAATGGCTGGCTTTGTAACAGTACCCACCATTCCCTTAGCAAAGCCTGATATGAAGCCCTGCAAAGTGTCAATTTTTAATATACAGTACTGTATTACATTCCACCTTTATTTAAATTCTAAAATAAGAAAAATTTTATTTGTAAAACCTGAACAGTAATACACCCCAATTATGAAGCATTACATGGAGGTGACAGAGAGGGGCTACAACTTACAGTAAGTCCTTCTTGTGTTGCTCCAGTGTATGTTTGTGATACAATACTGGTAAGTCCACCATACAGTCCTAGCCCAAGCCCTCGCAAACCTGCTACAATATGGTCAGACCCATTTGCTGCTTGCAGGGTACGTAATCTCTGCCGGTGTTCCTCGTGTTTCTCATCCATTGTGACGTGGCCAACAGCATCCGACAATGATCCTATAATGTTTCATGTGAATTAAATCTTAAGTCAGCTTTATATGATTAACATTCAAAACAAAAGTAAAGGCTAGAAGGAATGCAGTATCCATGATGAAAGTACACTGTAAATGAGGAAAAGATGCAGAAAGTTCCAAAAGTAATTTTGTTGTGATTTCACAATACTGAAGAAGCAAATGAAACTGCAGAGGGGATATTATGTTTACAACCACTACTAGTAGAGAAAGATTATGTGGTTATGATGTGATTTCACATTATCAAGAAGTAAAATTGAGGGAAGAACAACTGATCACCAGAAGGATAACCGCCAAACCACCTTAATGTTAACCTAATGTGACCTTACTTAACCTAACCTAACCCCTCCACTAGCAAGTGAAATTAGCTGGTGGGTGATTCTTCAAGTGATCCCGAACAACCAGTACAGTAAAACCGGATAAATATACTGAATGTACAGTATTGTACAAACACAAGAGTAACAAGCTGCAGACCAGTGCATTTAGACACTTATTTAATCTTTACGTCATCAGGTTTAATGATGAAATATTAAGGTGCACATACATAATTCAAACTAATATACTATTGGTTGGATATTACAAAATCAAGCAATTGTCATACTAAGGATTTCATAATATGATTACAGTTCTTTACTGTTGCACAGCATCCATGATGATACATAATGTATTAGATCTGTAATAAAAATGCTCCTGAAATAATTTACAACATAAATTTGACCTTAAACAAATAAACTTTTACATCCTAGATGGAACCACCCCATTCAGCAGTGGAGCAACAAATATATCCTTGAAGAAATCCTCTGAAAATGAAACAAATATTAAACCGTACACTACGGTGTTATCTGTAGTACAGGTTGTTATGCAGCTAGGACCAAAGAAGTAAGCTACATGCCCATTTCATGGAGACTTTAGAATTAATATTCACATAATATATACAATACAAACAAGTATCCCTCAAGATGTGAATGGGTTAAGCCTTCCCCTTCCCCTCCCCAAAAAAATATTAAAATAAAAAAATAAATACAGTGGTCCCTCGATTAACGAGCACAATCCGTTCCAGAAGGTTGCTCATTAACCGAAACCATCGTTTCAATGGATTTTTGGGTAATTGGTTCCAGCTCACCGAAAATTGCCTAAATTCAACAAAAAAGGTAGAAAAGTACACTTACTTTGAGGTGTGTATGTAGAAGGCTCCTGGATGATGATGATGATGATGATAGGAATTAGAATGGGGGTGAAGGAGAAGGGAGAAGAGAAGGCATTGAGGTGGAAGAGAAGTCACCCCATGGTGCCATTTTACCCATAAAATTTTAGTTCTCTTGGTGTAATTCAAGATTATTTTCTTTAAATCAACACTGCACTGCATTATATATTGTCAATATGTAAAATAAATTTCAAAATGACCAATAATTTGCTTGGAAACACAGAAAAAAAGCATTTAGTTGAAGAGAGTCTCAAGCAAGCTGTTACCTCCACTGAAAAGACAGACACTGGCGCCTGTTTCCTGTGTTGACAGGCTGGATGGCGTGCATAAAACTAGTTTCCTTACCTTCAGTTACGTTCAATAATTGTTAAAATGACTAAAAAATTTAATATTAAACTTTAAAAATTATTGAATAGTATAAACTTCTTGATATTTAATAAAATAGTAAGGAATTTAAGCCCTAGAACCGATTACTGTATTGGCGGACTAATACTACAGCTGGTGGACCGCCAAATGCAAGCGAAAACATGTCGAGGTCGGCTCGTAAGAAACGCGTTAATCGAGGGATTGCTCGTTAACCGAAATCTCGTTAACCGAGGCGCTCGTTAACCGAGGGACCACTCTAAATAAAATTGTTAGGTGAATTTTCAGGACCCTAATTCGTATAAGTGTGGAAAGCTTTCATAACATGAAACGGTGGTTCAATTTAGGAAATTCACAAAAGTGAATTTCCATATCACAAACGTTCGTATCTCGAGGAATATCTGTACAGTACTGTATACGGTATACAAATTCTGTTTCTAAGTTTCTCCCAAAGATAATATTCAAAATTAATTCTAGTTACAAAAATCAAAATTAATACATTGTTGACTAATGTTTAAGTAAAATGGGAACCTTCTTCTACTGTCCATTTTAGATTTTTGAATCTTAATAAAATTTTAATTTACAATACATACTGTACATGTTTTCTTCTGAGGAAAACATTCTCGATAATTATTCAGTGATATGTCAAGAGAATGCAGGATATCTAAGGATTTAATTTCCAGATATTTAGCAATTTATACAAACTATACTTACAGCAACAGTACAACTATTATACCATCAACATGTACTTCACTCGTTACCACAATAACACTCTAAAAGTGCATGTGGATCCAGTGTCCTGACTGGCTCAAAAAATAAATATAAAAAATAAATAAAAAGCCTTCTTGGTGGGGTTGGCAGTGAACTAAGTACAATTATACAAATAAGAATTTACAAATATGCTTACTTGCTAAAAATTCATCAACTTCACATGAATAACTATTGTCAATATAACAGATATACTACTGTAATAAGTTTCTCAATCAAGTTAAGCCTAGACTTTAATTGGAGACATTTTAAATGGTTGTCTAATATTCTTCCATTTTCAAGATAATCCAAAATATGTATTTAATTAAAAATACAGTAATTTACATTAATTCTAACAATATGAAGGTTTAAAGGCAAAACTTCTAATGTATATGTCAAGCTCCTAGTTCAACTATCAGTAACGAGGTGACGGGTAGCAATTCAGCAAAAGCCTCTTGAGAAAGGTAAGCTGACACATCAAAAGCAGTGGCAAACAAGAGGGCACAAGTGATGCACTGTACATAATGTCTTTTTTACAAAATTTATGGATACAACTTTTCTTATAAATCTTCTGCACACAGAGAAATATTGATTTTTTTTATGTTTTTTACCTAATGATAATTTTCTTAACCTTTTTTTTTTGTCACATAAGGATTGTGCCTGCATGTAGCAAGTTTATCTACCCAAAATTACAAGTTAAAAAAATAGCCATAACAAAGCTCTCCCACTCAGCCTGCTAACTCTCGCTGGCACAAAGAAATGTTTATGATTTTTTTTTTTACATTCTGCATATAGCATTTTGTATACAGGTAACTGAGTAAAAAATATGAAGGGAGTTAACTTTATGTACCCGAGAATTACGATTTGAATACTAACCATAATGTAGCTTACAGCTTGGCCTAGTACCAAGAGGGCTAGGGAGATGTGATTACAGTGACGAGTCTAACTTGGCAACAATGCCACCAGTCTTGTTAGGTGTAACACTTAAATAAGCATACCACCACCCTCAGCTGTGAATTCAAACAAATGGACTAAATGGAGGGAACAATCACCTTGAGGAAGGGCAGTCATGGCTCACCACAAAGGGTGGTGAATGGTGGAATGAAAGACAAGGGCTGGGGGAGATGAGGGAGAGAGGGGGGGTTTGAAATTATCATTGAGCAAGAATACGTTTCTGCCCGTCTCTCCAAGATGGCTGCCCGAGTTGACTCCCAGAGGTGTGATTTAAATTTTTGTTGGGACACAAATTCTGATAAGCTGGGGAAGCTTTTAGTAATTGAAAAAAAGGTGAAGTTTAGGAAATTTGTACAGTACAGGTTGTACCTCTCTAGTCCGGCATTCTGTGGTCCGGAAACTCCCGTGGTCCGGAACGATTTTAGTTTGTCCAATAGGTAGATAGGCAGTTTTTTTTTTTTACTTATCTGAATTATTATTATTATTACAGGAGTATTAAATTTTTGCCCCTCAGGCCCCAATGTGGGTCAGTGACCTATGCCCGGGTGGGCTAATCCCCTTAAAAAAAAAAAAAGCCGCGGGAAATTAAGGTTTGTTTACATCCGGCAGTTCGGCTGCTCTCTCTCTCTCTGCTTGTCTATACAGAGTACAACATTTAACCCTTCAATATATATGAGCAGTAAATAAGTGTTGCTTTCATATTCTTATGTAGAGTAATGACGATATATTTTCACATGTGCGCACTTACATACGAGCAGTCTCACTTTTTTTTTTACCATTAATGGTTAGCTACTTATATTGTTCCATTTATTAACATTAAATAACATTACAGGTACTTCAAGCAACCATATTCATTTTTTACATTAATTTTACTACAGCTAAACTCAGGGTCTTATTTTCTTCAGTTTTATATGTAGAACCAATCAGTCACTGGTTTTGTAAGCTTTAACATAAACAATGCCGGCAGCCGTCTCGTCTCCTCTAATATTCCAAGTATTATTAATAAATTGTATTGTTAATTTTGCACACACGTACATTGATTCAATAAAATCAAATTCAGAAACATTAATTAAAATATATATGAACAGTAAATAAGTGTTGCTTTCATATTCTTATGTAAAGTAATGACGATATGTTTTCACGTGTGCGCATGCGCACTTACATATGCGATCTCTCTTTTTCTTTACCATTATCGTTAGCTACTTCTATTGTTCCATTTATTAACATTAAATAACATTACTTAAAACAACCATATTAATTTTACTACAGCTACAACCAAGGTCTTATTTTCTTCAGTTTTATATGTAGAACCAGTCAGTCACTGGTTTTGTAATCAACGAAAACAATGCTGTGTCATTTCCTCGTGTGTTTTAATATTCTACGTATTATTAATGAATTCTATTGCTCATTTTGCACACATAAACATTAATTCAATAAAAAAGACATTCAGTAATAAACAACAATGAATCTTTTGTACATAAGAGAAATGACGCTGTTTACACGATTATGCACGTCGTCTGCACGTTGGCGGGCCGTTCAAACCCGTCGAAATTCAAGTTTCCGCCGTCAAAATTTTTATTTATTTATTTTTTTGTGTTCCAATAAAATACGTTAAGAATTAAAAACTCGCGAAATTTGAGAAGCTACTATACCACATTTAACCCTTCAATATGTCTTCAAAGAGACCATGACGCAGAGAAAGTGGTGCTAGTGCTTCCAGGCATAAGCACAAGTCACTATCTATCCAGGAAAAGGGTGAATTTCCATGGTCCGGCACCGGTCAGGTCCCGAGGTTGCCGGACTAGAGAGGTACAACCTGTATAAGCGAATTTTTATATCTCAAACATTTGTTAAGTGAGGTATACCTGAAAAAAGATAAGAGAGAGAGAGAAAAAAACCTTTTGTCCTTAAACCATTCTCTGGGCAATGCGGAGAGTGACCCACACAACTCTGGTAGCTACCCAACTAACTCAAGAGACGTGTATCTGCTGCACTGTGTGTATGCCATGACCTCACATGGGGAAGGTATCGTGACTGAGCTTACAGTTACAGCCCGCTGTCTCCACATACAGTGGGGTATGCTATAACGAATCTAATTGGTTCTAGAACCTTGTTCGTTATAGCATTCGTTCGTTATAGGATTAATCCGTTCCAGGCCCCCAAATACAACCACTTAACACTGAAAAATATAATATAAAATTGTAAAAAAGTGCATAAATATACATCTAAACCCCTGAAATAAAGAATATCATTAATACTTGTAATAAAAAACAATAAATTAGTAAAAAAAATATAAAAATAAAAAAATTTTTAAATAATGTTCGTTGTAGGAGTTTCGTTCGTTATAGCATTCTCAATTTTATAGGTAAAACCGTTCATTACAGGAATATTCGTAGTAGGATCCGTTCGTTATAGCATACTCCACTGTACAATCACTTCCCAAACATTGACACACCCATGATCTTCATTGTCTAATTTTAAAGTTTTATATTACAGAATATAAGTTTTTTATTTCTATGTAACAGAGTTCTGAAATAATGTTTAAAAATTTTTAAAGTTTCATTACATGTAACAATGGCAACATGAATAGCCATTCACAGCTGACTGGCAACATTTGTTATGGGGATTTCTACAGTATCATTACTTATGCACACACACCTCTCTCTTCCATTGGTTTAATTGCTGTAGTATTATGTGTGTTAATGCTCAGGATAGTATTAATAAAGTTTGATGTTGTGTTAAATTTTTTTTCCTATCATTTGAAGATGCTGACGCAAGCATCTGAAAGTGCCCCTTTGTCGGTTAGTCAGCAGTCTGGAATGTGCATAGTTTGGAGAGGAGGCAAACAGGGAAGTTACACCCATGTTCAACCCTCCCTCTCAATACAAGGAGGATACTGTATATGGTTGGCTAGAGCACCAGTGTCTTTCCCTCTGCAAGGGGAATTTACTAGATGTTTCTGGAATGAGATAAACAATACCACGAATGAGTCAAAATAATCCCTTCATATGTAAATTTGCTTGGTTTACTGTGTTTTGATGTATTTATGGTGACAACAGTATTCACTTGGCAGTAATTAAACATAATGTGATGAAATGTACAGGTATCCTCCTATTTAAGATGGGGTTATGTTCCTAAAAATCCATTGTGTTGAAATACCATAAATTGGGATCATTATAACATGGAGTTCAATGGGATAAGTTCCCAGCTAGTCCGACACTCACATATATCACCAAAAATAAAAGTTCTACAATATTAATAGACATAAAACACAAATAAAAATCACTCACCACTTCATTAAGCACAAGCCTGGTCATCATCACGTGTCTCCTTTGAGGCAAAGGGGACTTTTAAAGGTGGAATGGAGAAATCCCTCTGACTCCAACACAGCCTCTGGGAAGTCAAGCTTCATCTCCAGAGAGACAATTTTCCTGGGTGCTTTGGCCTTCCCAGACATTTTCAAAGTTATACTGCTCACTTTACAGTCACAAAAAACAGAGCGAACGAGGATAACATAAAAACACTGATAGCACCCGACACTGCTCACATCATGTTCACAATAGAGGCAAAGCACTTTATAGTCACATAATACATAGCAAAAATCACTTCATGGTCATCAAAACAGAGTACAGTATAGTCTCGATTTACGCGGATTTCCTTTATACGCGGTTGGTCATTTACGCGGCACCTGGCCAGACCGGCAATTATTAGTTACGCGGTACACTCCATCATGTACGCGGGAAGCGGCACGGGCAGGGTGCGCACTAGGTCGCCCAGTCAACAAAACATTACTGAGTTCTTCACCCGCCACCCACCACAGCCGGCTCAAGTCAGTGATAGTGAGGATATGGACTTTGAGGGGTTTGACAAGAGGCCCTGCAAGCCTCTGTGGTGGATAGTGATACAATTGATACAGATGAGGGCCAATAATCTGCCCTCTGCCTCGGAACCAACCCCCCATCCCCGTGTGCCCAGCCATCTCTTCTACTGTACTAACGTAAGTGTTAAAAACCTAATATTATTGATATTTCTCTTAAATATTAATTGTGTGTGCATACCATCATAAAATTAGATGTTATTTTTACTACAACGTACGTATTGTGTCAGAAAAAGGGTAGTCTGGGGAACGGCCCAGTCTCTATTTCAATTAATCCCATATGTTCTGTTATTTCGTTTATGCGTTTCTCGTTTTACGCAGATCTCCACGGGTTTAATTGACCGCGTAAACCGAGACTATACTGTACAATGTGAATGTTATTGCTGTCCTCTCACTGTAAGGTAAAAAAAAAAAAAAAAAAACAACACTAACACTGACTAATAATTGTTGAGCTACATGATCACGGGCATGTGCGGTCACCATGGAACAAAACTTGAAAATGTAGTGCACTGGGTGGCCACGTGCGGGTAGACCGCAGCTGATAAGTGCAGCGAGAAATGTGTTCCATATTCCCTGCGCCAGCAATTTTAGCTGGATGAAGACCATCATTCATATGAATATTTTTATCATAAATAGAGGAGTGGTCTTAATACATCACCATTGTTCAAGAGACAGGGAGATAGTAAATTGGGTGATACCTGCAATGATTTAGTTAATGTATTGTGTTTACCTAGTTTGTTTAGTTTTAGTTTGTAAGGTGTCTGAAATTCAGCCCCTAGGACTGCATCCTCCATTAATAACAATCTAATGGAAACTGCTTTCAATATACAACACATACCCAAAATGAAATCTCAATAGTCTCTTGAATCACGATTCTAACCCTCGATGGTATCACTATCCCTGGACTCCACTACAGGTATCAGCCAACCACCTGACCTATGACATTCCCCCCCTCACCACCCAAGTGTCATCACTACTGAAGAATACATACCTTTTGTATAGTGAGGACTGCATCTTCTAATTTATTGCCAAATACATTTATTGGGATATTAATGGAACACATGACTTACTCTTGTCAGATTACCAGAGCATTTCAATACGTTGTGCACTTTCTTTTTCATATTAACTTTTCTTCAATAAATAATTTAATTAACACAATGAAGAGACATCTACTGCAAAGTACAGAATCACAGCAAATATATTATTCTTTTGATATTCTAATATCACAGCAGACAAACTGGAGGCAGGAAGCGAATAATTTTGCAGCAGGCCGAAAGCTTACCCGTCACCTTGGCAGTAGAATTGGCCATGCCATGCGTTACGTTCCACACTAGGCCACCCACAGATCCTTCATGAACCAGTTCACTCACGCCTTCGCTTACGTCAGCGAAGAAACCAAACGGATTACCTAGAAAGTCTGTTGATCCTAAGATTTTCATTGCCTGCGACTTCAGTTCCTGAGATAAGTGGAAAATTATTTAATATAATAGAAAAGAACAAGAAATTCCTTAAATGCTAATTCTTCCTTTTTCTTACTAATTTACCAGTTATTACAAATGCTTAAAGGCCTCTAATGAATACATCTGCCCCTAAATGGATAGTGTTTCTTTTTTATACAAAATAAAAACTAATGAAAATGTGCTAACTACCACCTATGTGTTCTTTCCCACACAACTAAACTTGATGCTCAAAACACTGGAGGATCTTCAGTCAGCTGATGACCACTTAAATACTGTCCTGGCTGATCAACATTTCCCTTCATTAAACAACTACTTACAGCATGTTGGTACTCAGTGTTTCAAAGTTTACTATTAAAATCTGTGGGAACAAAGAACCTCACAAGCTTTGTGTTGCTCAGTCTTTATTTAAAAGGTATTATTATGAACCTCTTGTTGAATGGTCCCAGATGACTTTTGTTGTGGTTACAGAAACTTAAAAACTTATTGCGTGCATGAAAGGGTTAATAACAGAGTAAAGATAACATAACTGTAAGTATACTACAGGTATAAGTAAAAAATAAAACAAAAAATAAATATAAACTAAATAATAATCATTTTAGGAGTTGAAACTTCCCTAGATAGGCCTACATAGCACCTTAACTTGGGTTTGTTTAAATCTGACTACCTGCAGCTTCTCAAGTCTCAAGAAACATTTGCAAGAAGTGGAGAGTTCATAAGTATTTATTATCTGATCAAATAAATACCCCAAATACCTTAATTATCTTAATTTCTATTAATTTCTTGAAAAGGTGCTAATAATGTTCTGGCTTAACTTACCTCTCTGTAATGTTTAGTGATACAGTCAAATAAGAAGTGAGATGTTTCAAATGGGTGACAACGGATGAAGGGTTCCAAATTAACACTTGCATTCTCAAACCTGACCAGAGTAAGCCCCATTTTTCTCTTAATATTCATGAGCTCTGGACTTAATTTTTTTGAAGTAAGAACACTAAGTCTAACTTGACTGAGTTGAAGTTCAAGGTTGGTGAAGTAGTATCTGAAAGTATGTACAATAAAGTATCATATTTTGGTGTTTTTACTGTAGTGTTGACAATCTGAAATGTGCACAGGTGCTCCTTTACACCAGTACCTCAACATATGCGAGTTCAGCTCTAGCAAATTCAGCTATCCACAAAACGACCTCAGAGGTTTCTATCTACTAAAATAACATAAAAAGGTAGGGTGCTTATTTTAAAAACTGCAGGCATCAGTCATGATGTGATGTGATATCATGGCATCATGCTGTATCCTGCATGGCTCTTCTCTCCTGCCAGTCTCATTTGAGAATTCTCCTGCATTGCCTGCCAGTCTCATCTGAGAGCAATTCTGATGTTAATTATAAATGTCATGGTAGTGCATCTGGTATAAAGAGAGTGAAAAAAGTCATAACTCTGACCAAAAAAATTGAAATGTTAGATTAACGTGATAGCAGCAAGAGTGCGTTTGAAGTTAATGAGTGAACTGTTCGTTCCATAAAAATAAATGGCAAAGAAATTAGAAGTAGTGATGCTAATAGTGTACCACACAGTGCTGAAGTAACACATCAAATATGTGATAAAGGTATGGAGAAGATGGAGAAGGCATTAAGTGTATGGATTGAGGACATGAGTCAGGTGTGCCAAAAATTTAACAAATGTGATGTATGACTGTGACCCATCAATGGAATTAAGCATCAAATTAAAGCTGAACATCAAGAATGTTTTACAACCTTATCAAGAAATTTATAAACTAAAAGAGAAAGCAAAACAATTGCCAATTACAATGTTTTTAATGCCGGGATCCTTCCTCCACTCCCGTCTCTCTCCTCACCAACCAGCTTGGCATCAGCTGCATCATCCCCTTCACTCCACTAATACGAATTACTCACCTGCCAGTCTTTTATCGGATATTCTGGATGATCCCAGTCCAGAGTGTAAAAAAATTACACTTTACGTAAATAAGTAACACTGCTAATTATTTTGCTCCCGTCTTAATACCTGTATTACGTTTAAGACAAGGATAAATTAGATATTCTTCCCAGTCTTACGTTTGTTACAAGAAAACCTAATATTCAGTATGTACACTTGTTTCATACACAGCGTTGTGTGTGTGTCAAGCATGTGTTCGTGTGTGTGTGTTGATGGCGCAGTGGTGGTGGTGGTGGTGGTGGTACTGGTACGGGCTGTGTGAAGCAGGCAGCAGACGATGCGTCGCCACTACTTCAATCTAGTTGATTTCCCTAACATCACAACACATTTACTTCCTTCACATTTAATTAATTTTTGATTAACACATAATTCAACTGTATAAAATAACTGTACATGCTTGTGTAGTATTTAGAGGGCTTAAATAAAGTTATTTTCTAATTTTTTTTATTTTTGGTCCCTATTTTATGATACACTGAAATATTAAAGATGAGGGATTAAAGACGTTTATTTGCAAAATTCTACATTCACGGGCGTCCCAGAAACCTATCCCTCACGAATGTTGAGGTACTAGTGTACTTACAAATATTCGACTTACGAACTTTCAGAAATAAGAACATCATCAATGAAGGGGGGTTACCTGCCAAAGTGGGTGTTCAATGTGGATGAGACTAGATTATATTGAAAAAAATTCTAGATAAAACATACAATGCCTAAGAGGAGAAGAGTGAGCCAGATTTTATCTAATATTTTTTTATATTTTTTCCAATATATTTGGAATCTGCAAGGGTAAAGTTGGACTTAAGAAGAAGCCTCAGGAATGTAACCAGTTCGTAAGTAGAGGAGCACCTGTATATAGAAGTTAAATCATTAAGTATCCACTATTAAATACAATTTATTTTACTTTTCATGCTTTTGTCATGAAAAACCTCATACAAGGTACCTCTTGCACAGGGTACAGTATTAACATAATTCTTTTGTACTATATAAGAACCTTTCATAATGGAAAAAAAACAAAAACAAAATCTAGTACACCGGACCCTAGATTTATGTGCATTCACTATATGTGAACTCGCTCTTATGCGGTAACCCTATTTCTACCCATAATTCATTTTACACAGAAAAGAATCCCTACTATGAGTTCTGTAGAAGATATGGCATACTAGTTTTATATTATATAATATATACTTTTAAGCCACATTAGAGTATTTTATTGTTTTTTCTACAACGTTTATAGCATTAATGCTCCAGAAATGGTTGTGAAGTGTGGCACAGTGTGTGAGTGTGTCTACTGCGCTGTATGTGACGTCGTGGGATACAGCTGGAGTGGTGAGTCAGCCACTCCACACACTTACACTTTCACTTTCCACACAAGCACCCATGCTCTTCATATATCTTAGTTTATAGCTTTATATTATATTTTATAGTTTTATATTATATTATCTTTATTTCTAGCCCACATTAGAATACAGTACTGTATTGTAATGGTTTTTCCATAACTTTTATAGCATTACTGTTGACTTTTAGTATTATGGAACATAACTAATTTTCCCCTTTAGATTAAGTATTCACGATATACAGATTCCTTTTATGCTGTGCTGTTGCAGAACGCAACCATAGCATAAGGCGAGGGTCAGGTGTACAGTACAAAGCCCACAGCCAGCACTGTTTATTTATTTTGAAAATTGAGTTTGAAGATTACCCTGTAGTTACAAGTTTTGGAAACCTAAGAAAGTAGCCACTTTTCTAACCCTATAAGTTAAGTTTCATGTGCATGAATTTGATGTGTACAAAGTTTTTTAATTAATTTAATACCCACCTATACTAAGGGCCCAATTTATAAATTATATTGACATTCCTTTCAATTTAGTTAATGTGGTGCAGACGAATAGATACATCTTGCCTACAAATTCGGACACACCACCTTAGTAAAACTGTTGGGTTTTAATTCAATACATCTTACTCTTATATTCAGTTTGTTTGGTTATCTTCAAGGGAAATGATACTGAGAAAGATTTTTTTGTCTTATCCCCAGAGGTTCCAAAATAAGTTAGATATACCGTATTTTGCGCATTCCTTACCTTGTTGCATTGACTGAAGTGGCAGCAGCAAGCATACGCCGCATGTCATATTGATGCTCCTCCACTTTCTCGAGCTCAGAGTCTGATTGATCATAACCAGCCATCAAAAACAGCTTAAAAAGCAAAGTTTCCTCCAGGGTGATGGTTAAAGTCTTCGTGGTCACCATCAAATTCTGTTCAAAATATGAATAATGTATTTTTTACCTTTGTAATGAGTAATATTGATTTTTTTGTATTATCTGACTTGGAAAGAACACAGGGGAATGATTTACAGACTAACCTTGAATATATAAGCATTGGTGCACGATGACAAGACTTGATTTGCAGTAAGATATATAGCAGGGAGGTGGCGGGTGTCATCATTCTTATTCTGAGGCGTCACATACAGTACAACAGGACATTGGGCTGTTAAAAGTTGATTATCCACCTAATTAAAGAATAGGGAATAAAAAAAGAAAAATTAAAAAAAAAAAAAGTGAGAGTATACAGTATGTATTATAGGACTGAACTGAGTGGGTGATTTCAGATTTATAGTATAAAATTGTAATGTGGATATTTATGTCAGATTTATGTTTTAACTGAAGAAAGATGAGAGCTATTACATGGTGACAGTGTAGGTACAGTACTGTATACATAAAGAATTATGCAAATAGGAATATATCTGCATCAACAATATACCTGTACTGTACTTGTACTTGAAAATGATACAGAAACTATGAGGAAGTCACAATTTTTTTAGAAGAATGGGAAGGTGTGTTGGATTACACAACAAATGTGAATTGAATTAAAGGTGGTTAAGACTGTGACCTTAATAGGAACATAAGATGTATATTTGCAGTAGTAACTCAACACACTGTACAAATTGGGGCAGCCCCCAGTCCAGAAAAAACAAATGTATGGGGAGGAAGAAGTGAACTTAACCCTGGACCGTATCAAGAAAATCAGACATAAGTCTGGTTGTCGACAACTGTTTTGTACTGTAAAGAGTTATAAGTAACCACAGAATTTGCCCCATGAATCAAGAGAAAACTATATACTGTACAGTACTATAAAGATAAATATAAGAGTGTAGGGGTATATTGTGTGTGGGAGATGTGTGTGTATCTGGAAGCAGCAAGCAGGAGGTAGCCTATGTGGATGGCTTCCTCCCCTAGGATCCCTTTAACATGTCTTTATGCAATTTCACCATAATTCCCATACTATTTAGGTTCATTTGGTGCTGGGTTGATATAACATTGTACAGTATAATATTCAACTTAACTGAAAAAAGAATCCCACACTCAACCCAGATGAGTCATTACATCATATTAAATTCCTTGTTTACAAAGCACAAACAGCTGATCACTCTGACTCTTCTTCACCACATTAAAATACTCTCCATCTCTCATGCTTACCATAACATGTCATCAGCACTTAGTAAATAATATTGTAGTGTATTATGCATCTGCATATTCCTTGATGTATTCATTAATCAGTTGTCTAAGTGCACAATTTATCTCTTGTGCAAAATATATGATGTCTATATTCAAATTATTTGCTGTCTTGCAAGGATTCTAGCACTGCAAATTATATTCTGCTAACTTTAGTCTGTGATATTATATAAGATAAAAACTTTAAGCCTAAAACGACCAAACCCTGGCTGGTAGGAGGCTGAGGGAGGCAGGAGGCAGGAGGAAGGGGAAGGGGACGTGAGGTGTTTTGACAGCCGGCACCGGCACCAAGGTTTACCCAGTGCGTATTTATTTATCTGTCATATGGAGGAGTTTAAGTTTTCTCTTATAAAATGTCACTGAACTGACCTGGGAGAATATAATTTACATGGCTGGGATTCTTGTAAGATAGTGATTAATTTGAATATAAACATGCTATAGTTTGCACTAGACATACAATTTTTGAAAATTTTGAGTTTGAAATTGGAAATTGTAACCTAATCCCCGGGGTAATCCGCATATAGTTGAAACCGCGTAAGAAAAATACGCGTAAGTTGCGAGTCTACTGTATTGTATTTGTTTTCTTTTTTCACAAACATTCTGTTTCTATCTCACAAAATAGTATGAGGCTACTGTATAATTTGATAACCAGGAAAGAGAAGTAGTGTGAGATAACAAGTAATATCATATCCTGGCATTCCAAAAAAAATTTTCATTATCATTCAAAAAAACATGTGAATAATAATGTCTTTATGCATGATACAGTTAACTGTGGACTATAATTTTCATTGTGGTTCTATTTTAAATTATCTGTTAAGATATATTATCACCCTCTTTTTATGGTTTAAATTTGATTTTTCCTTAAATTTCAAGACTAAAATATTCTACTGGTTTGATCACTTTACCTGAATATCACGCACACTACAGTCAACTGTCCGCTGTAGCAGAGAGCTCTGATACTCAAATACAATATCTGATAACTTGGCATAAATAAGTTCTTGTGGGGGTGTTTGCTGAATCACTGATATGCCCAAGCCACCATGAATCTTTAGTTGAACCTGCAATACAATATAAGGAAAATGTAAACATTCATTATGATTTTCTTTCAAGGCTGTGAATATAGGGCTATTATAAATGTAAAACAAAAAAATTATTAACTGAACCTTGAAAGTCATAAGACAGTTCTTATCAAAGGTTTATGAAATAAGATGAAAACAAAAGACAGAAGCAGATAATGTTTAAATGCCATACATGCAAAAAACACTGTCTTGGCCAGAATTCCTCCTCAAATACCCCACAGTATATAGCCTTACAATATCAACAAACCTTTATCTACCATGATCCAACTCTATCATTAATTAAATTCATCGGTATTTTTACTCTGCTCTTTCCACCACTTTATAAATAAAAACTCTGAAAATGCTTTTAGTGCATTTCACTACTGTACACAGATCCTAATTCTTGCTATGAAGACTTTCACATATCAAAATAACCTAAATTTAATTCCTTTGTTACAATAAATACTGTATGTGCAGTAGTATCTCAATATTCATAGTTTGTGAATTCATAAAATTGGGTGTTTGTGAGTTAGTAAATGTATACCAACTCCTCATTCACGACCCCTAACCTCTAGAATTTGCAAATTTTCAAGGAGCTGAAATCCATGCATCTTGGGAGCAAAACTGTTACTTTAAAACAAGAAAAATATAATTATCCACAAAAATTTGATTACTGTACAGTAATTATAAGAGTCAATTGAGGGAAAAACCCCATTTACTTGCCATATACCACTTGAAAATTTACTAAAGAATCAGAGAATGTTAAATTGTTTTATTATTCATTACTGTATTATATGAAGGTAAATTTTCACTACAGTATGCCTAAATAATTCATGGATTTTTATTTCACAATCCTCTATTATTCGCGGATGACACCCTGGATGTCCCCAAGAATGTCTGCAGGTGGTTTTAAAGTTGCTGGCACTTTTGTGGCCAGGACAGGGAGCCATTTGTTCTGAGACAGGGTACGCGGAAGCGAGCGCGTAAAGTGAATAACATAACATATGGGATTAATTGAAATGGAGTCCAGGCCGATCCCCAAACTCCACTTTTTGACGACACATAACTATGTTGTAGTAAAAATAACATCTTAATTTTATGATGGTACATGCACACAATTAATACTTAAGAGAAATAGAGAAATACAGTCGCCAAGTTAATGTCCATTCAAATAATGGACACGACTCCCTCCCCTCTTCTCACACTACACTGCTGGCTCTTCCCTCTGAGAAATTTTGGGGGGAAAACCAGGTATAGTAATAAATAATACCTCAAACTAAAGTTAGGATAATATAATTGACATTGCTGGATTCCTTGTAAGACCAGGAATATTTTGAATATAAATGTCATATATTTTTCACAAAAGATAACATATTTACTCAGATTAAACATTACATCTAAAATTTGTATGTCTAATGCAAAATCTATGATGTTTATATTCAAAATGATCATCAAATTGTAAGAATTCCAGCAATGTAAATTATATTCTGGCCGGGTAATTTGTATGAATTTTATGAGCTAAAACAAATATCTTCAGTTAATAAAAAAAAATATTCTTCACGACACTATCTGTCAATCAAAGTACCCCACCTTGCCTCCCCCCTCTTCCAACCGCGCGGTCAGTCCCAACCCTCCCCCCCACCCCCCACCAATCCTCCCTTCAAGAGAAAGAGTGGGTGAAAAAAATAAATTTTAACATTTTGTATTAAATAATACCTCAGATTAAAGTTAGGATAATATAATTGACATTGCTGGATTCCTTGTAAGACCAGGAATATTTTGAATATAAACGTCATATATTTTGCACAAAAGATAACATACTTACTCAGAGTGAACATTATATCTAAAAATTTTATGTCTAATGCAAAATATATGATGTTTATATTCAAAATGATCATCAAATTGTAAGAATTCCAGCAATGTAAATTATATTCTGGCCGGGTAATTTGTATGAATTTTATGAGCTAAAATAAAAATCTTCAGTTAATAAAAAAAAAAATATTCTTCACACAGTAACAGATGGTCGGTCACCGGTCCCTCCCTCCCCCCCCCCACCAACGTCCCTACTAGATAAATGTGTGGGAATACCAGACTGTTTACCTTTTTAGTAATAAATAATAAATCAGACTAAAGTTAGGATAATATAATTGACATTGCTGGATTCCTTGTAAGACCAGGAATATTTGGAATATAAATATCATATATTTTGCACAAAAGATAACATATTTACTCAAGAGTAAACATTATATCTAAAATTTGTATGTCTAATGCAAAATCTATGATGTTTATATTCAAAATGATCATCAAATTGTAAGAATTTCAGCAATGTAAATTATATTCTGGCTGGATAATTTGTATGAATTTTATGAGCTAAATTAAAAAAATTATACTTCACCCGTGTAAAGGGGTACACCCACCGCGGAATGTGAGCATCCTGGGTTCTGGCAGGGCACCGCGTAAACGTGGAAACGCGGAATGTGGGACCGCGTAAAGTGAGGGTTGACTGTATATATATATGTGTGTAGACACACACACCAAACACATATAAATAAATAATAATGGGAAAATCCTCTCGCAAATAATCAGAAACAAATTTATTAAAAATGTGACAGTCTACTGTGCTCTATCCAAAACAAAGCACAGAGTAGACTTGAGGGTAGACTCACATTTTTAATAAATTTGTTTTTGAGTATTTGCGAGAGGATTTTCCCATTATTATTTATTTGTATGTGTTTTGTGTGTATCTACTCACACACACAAAACAATAATAATAATAATAATATTCATAATAATAACAAAATTAATAATAATAAAGAATGATAAAAACAATATTGAAAATAAAAGCTGAAGAGTGAGAAACGATATACAGTATGTATGTTGTGTTGCCAAAAGTACGAGAAACAATTATGCCCTGCAATTGTGTGAAAATAAGGCAGAAAGTCAGATCAGCAACCTGGGACTTGGTCACATATGGCAGCAGGTTCTACCATTAGACAATACATTATGCTTCAAATATTATGGCTTTCTCATAGGTAAAAGTCTGTATAACTAACACCAGTGGTCAGGATAATATGTACAGTACTGTATTTTTGATGTTCTTTATATAATTATTTATCGTTTTTATACATTTAGTACATTTGCCGGAAGATTCGGACAATAAGCTTTTTTGGACAGGTGCCCCCCCCCCTTTTAGTCCGGATCTTCGAGGGTTCATTGTATTCACAGACTGCTTCACTCATCTACTCATCTACTGTTAAATGCCAAGAAACATTAACATTTTACATAAAAAAATATTATGATGGATTTGTTTCATAAATGGGAAAAAAGATTGTGATTGTAAATTGAAAATATCGTAAGGTGGACGTGATGATAAACCATTTCACTGTCCGTGCTAATACAATATTAACATTACTTTTGGGTTAGGTAGGATATAAATTTTGGTAGGTTGGCCCACACAAAAATATCTAAATCGTAATGCGGCCCATGACTGATGAAAGGTTGCCCATACCTGCCTTACACCATAAAAATGGCACAACATTTTTGGATGTGATGTCCCACTGTGTTGGAGTATGTTTTAGGGAGCTTTATTCCCGAGAAAAATACTCGTACAAATAAGGTACAGTACGTATAAGTTTTACAGGAGACAAAAAGACACACACCTGAACCTCTTTTAAGTTGGAGCCTTCACTAGCCTGCTGACTCCCTCTACTTGTTTTTTTTATGGTGGTTGTTCCTCCCTCATCACTGAGGCTAACCCAGTCACCACTCTCTGTACGGGCCATCAGTGATGAACTCTGATCATGAAAATACAGTGAAATTATGCACCAATTCCTTTAATGTAAGGTTAAGAGTAATAAAATTATGCTTAAATTGCTTATAAACTAATTTCCTTGTATGAAGGTTTTATTTCACAATGCTTGATATACAGGTACACCACCGATTTTCTGGGAACTGATGGTCTGGCACCTCCTTTAGTCCGGACAAAATTACGAGAGGACACTTAACTTCCCTCCCTTCCTGCCACATTTCACTGGAGTTATGTTACTATTAGTGTTTACTGACATAATGATGCTTAATAGTGAGTAATCAAGGCACTGTAGCCAGGTTAGACTCGTCACTGCAACCACCAGGCTACTAAGCCAAGCTTTGAGGCGTTATGGTTGTTTTTCAACTAATTTTCTGGTAGATATGCAAAAAATTCTTCATCTATTTTCACTCATTTACATGCACACACCAGCCTAAATACATATTGTGAAAAATAGTAAAAGAAATAATTGTCCTAAGGGCAAACCTGTACTCAAATGTACCAAGTTAATTAAAAAAATTTTTATGTCCAGTGCAAACTATGGGATGTTTGTACTTAAATTAATCCCTATCTTACAAGAATTCTAGCAATGTAAGTTATATTCTGCCAAGTCAATGCAGTGACATTTTATAAGCACAAAACTTTCTATTTGATAACTACACACTTCGTTATCTCCCCTCCCTGACAGCTGTCAACACCTCACCTCCCCCTTCCTCCCAGCCACGATGAAGGTGGTTTTAGGCTTAAAGTTTTATCTATAAAATGTTGCTGACTAGACTTAGCAGAATATAACTTGCATTGCTGGAATTTTTGTAAGATAGTGATTGATTTGAGTATAAACATCACATAGTTTGCACCAGACATTAAATTTTTAGTAATTAACTTAGTAAATTTGAGTACAAAGTGTGTACAGTAATATGGTGCTCAAATTTATGGCTTTTTCACATTTAATTTACATTTAATATTTGTTTAATTTAAGTTTTTAGCAGTCCATGGTGCTTTAGAGACACAGGAGGTGTATAATTAGTGGGTCAGAGGTGTATTGTTGAATTATTATTACGTGACTTCGGTTGGTCCGGCAAAACGGATGATGCGGCTAGGCTTTGGAACCAAGGGTGCTGGAAAATTGGTGGTGTACCTCTAGTAAGTATAAAATCACTCCTTTTTTATTTCAAGATTTAAATAAAGACATAAGATAAAATTTCTCATAAAAATAAAAGACAAAAAGTCCATTAATACTATTTTACCTTACTATGGATGTCTGTTATCTTCAAGACACGTGTTGGACCATCCGTATCTACTTTTAATGCAAGTATTCCTGAACCAGGACGTAAGCGCTGCCTGGATATGGCCCGCTCCAGTGGCACACCATTTGCCATAGTTTCGTAATGGACAAGTTGGGGTGGACCCAAGACCACATCATTCCCTTAAAATAAAGAAACACCTTACATATTTCGAATGTACATGAATGATATACAAACAACAATTGCAAAGGTAGAAACAAGCATGATTGATTTGTCTATTTCTAAGCCACATCAAAGTACTGCAATGATTTTTCACAGCTTTTAGTTTCATTAGACAGTAGGTAGTAGTCAGCTATCAAACAGGGAGGTATTACCAACTGGGAAGATATTGGAAGCATAACGTGTTGTCTAATGGTAGACCCTGCTGCCTTATGGCATCAGAAAAATTGTGACCAAGTCCCAGGTTGCTGACCTGACTTTCTGTCTCATTTACACACAAGTGCGGAGTCTGAATCGTTTCTCTTACTTTTACAACACAACATACATACTGTATATCGTTTCTTAATATGATTTTTTGTTTACTTTTGTATTTTTTATGGTATTTTATTATTAATATTATTATTATTATTATTATTATTATTATTATTATTATTATTATTATTATTATTCACATCAATATTATTATTATTAAATCTTATTTTTATTTTTTCTCTTTTTTTAATTAGTATTTTTGTTATTTTGAAATATATATTTTTTTTTTGCCACCCCTTCCCCCCAGGCCCTGATGTGTGCTGGGTGGGCTAATCCCCATTAAAAAAAAAAGAAAAAAGAAAAGAAAAAAAAAGGGGCGAGTTAGTGAGGCAGTTATAGCCCACTGCCTCCACACACGTACACTACAGACACATACACACCCATGCTCTTCAATTTTCTTATTTTATAGTTTTATATTACATTTTCTTTATTTCTATGCCCCATCATTTATAGATAGTGGAATAAGTGTTACAGAAGTCCATTAATCTAAAACAAATTTGTGAGGTCAGCCTGCAGAACTGTGCAATGTGGGATTTTTGGGGGATCCTATGAGTGAGGTCCAACTAGCTAGCCAGAAAATTCCTTTATCTGGTATCTCTCAAACCTGTAGGTGCTGGATAACCAGAATTCTACTGTACTGCAGAGACAAAATAGCATTATTCTCGAGTGCATTTTATTGGGTAAGTTATACCAATTGATCTACTGTAAACTAAACTTAAATATTCCATATACACTCATTTTGTATTTAATTGTTGAAAATTAGCATTACAGTACTTTTTATATAGTTTTCATGCTCTTTGAAAGCTAATTACATATGCTTCAAATTTTATGCTATTACGTATAATCATACACACTCATACCATTAAGTATTTTACATAGTAAAAAGCAGAATTTTAATTGCTTTTTTTAAAGTAATTAACTTAAGCTTAAGGGTAAAACTATTTACAAGGTCAAATTATGTACATGAACAGACTTCCTTCAACAACTGCCACATACAGTATGCGCCAATGAGGTTGGTACTAGAGGGCCTGTGCCTTCTTCAATGGCGCCACTCACTTTATCCCTCTTAAAATAGTGTTGGTTGATGCTATTGAAATTGGCACACTCTAGTGAGCAATGGCAACTGTTTGACATGCTGGGATACTGCCAGCATTTTTCCGCTAGCCATTTATTAGGCATAAGATGAGGATGAATGATGTTGTTCTCCCTGACTTTTTTCTGAATCTTCTTTGAATTGTTGCTGTTCTCATGTCACTACCAGCCACTATGGTAAGAAATAAGCCTCTTACAAGTGATAATATAGCAGCTATTGTTGCACTTTACAAAGGGGATACGCCTCTTCAGGATATTAAAAAAATTATGGGTGTGGCATTGAGATTTGTGCAACGGCAAGTTGGTGTGTGAAGAAATGTAAAGATGGGGTACCCAGCTCAATACCGTCCCATGTTAAACATCCTGGGAAGGCCAGAAAACCTCACCCTGGAATCTAAATGTTCCTAAACATCAAATGGAGGCAGATCTACATTTAAGTGCTTGGGAAATAAAAGAAAAAACCCAATACTGCTTAGTAAAGTGCCATTAAGGACCGTTAAGCACCATATACAAGAAGATCTGAAGCACCGGAGTTGCTGACTGCGTCTCAAACCACTCCTGACCTGTGCGCACCACCAGAAAAAAATAGCTTTTTCAAGAAATATGGTGTGTGGGATAAGGCTAAGTTCTGTAGAGTTTTGTGGAGTGACAAGTCCATGTTTCCTGTGACTGGCAACAGGTGGGGTTGTGTTTACCAACATCCTGGCAGTGATCAGCTGGACCCTGGGTACACTGGGGGTGCTTTAGTTATGATGGTGTAGGGGGACTTAGCAGTGTTACCAAAAAATATTTTGATGAACAGGTATAATTACCTAGAGTATGAAAAGTGCAAGGCAGAAGTGTTTATGCAGGATTGGGCCCCTGCCACACTGATAAATATGTCTCTGATTGGATTAACCCTTAAGCCCTGGGTTAGGGTAGCTGGTGGCAGTACCTCCCACCTGGGGTCAAATCGAGAAAAATCTAATTTTTCAAAAATAATTTTTAACCTTTTAAAATGATAAAACAAAAAATAAGTAAGAAAAACTGTATATTGACCTTCGAGAAACTTCTCTGGCCGCGCAGAGGGAGGGAGGAGGGGGAAAGATAAGGAGACAGTGTTGGTTTGACAGCTAACCCTCGTGGTCCCTCGGCACTTAGCAGCTATATTTAGCTCGCCTTTGTGTCTGAAGAGGCCAATAATGTATGTATTTACTGATCTTAATACTTATTTGCTATAAATAATTCATTTAGAATATTTTATTTACATAATTTTTCATAAAAAAGTGCTTGGCAACAATCACCAGTGGGTAGCCAGTCTGCCTGGCTGTCTTTGTGTTTGGTAGAGCAAGTAATGCATAAAATAATAATTCCACAAATAAAAACATTTATAACATAATCATAGCATTGTTTTACAGTAATACTACCCTACAATACAACTACTTACACAACTTTTATCAATATTACTTTGATACAACATGATAAAACAATGAAAATGAAACAAACAAAAGTATGTAATTATGTTCAGGAAGCTTCCCTGTGGCCGAGCATGTGGTGTGAGAGGCAAACAGTCACACTGGAACCTGATAACCGGCACTGGGCATTTAAACAGTGGTGGAAATAGGTGGAAGTTCTGGAACGTCACCCAGGGCCTAAGGGTTAAGGACAGTGAAGTGGAGGTTTTTAATGACTGGCCAGGCAATTCACCAGACCTAAACCCAACTGAGAACTTGTGAGCTCTTATGAAGAAAAAAAAAAAGAAGTGTAACAGGGACACTTCCTCTCTACCTAAGCTTGAGGTGGCCATTCGTAGTATCTGGACAAACATAGACCCTACGAAATATATGTGGGGTGTGAGTATTCCATAGTTGTCATGGTTTCATTTCGTATTTTTTATTTTATTTTATTTTTTATTTTCGACTGACCCACAGCCACCTCGCACCAACCTCACTGGCGTGTACTGTATAAGAGTACTGACTTACAGGGGGGTTAAAGGTTAGTTTTCTAAAATTTAAACAAATTAAGGCAATAGCACAAAAGAATATTTCCAAACAATAGCCGAAAATTAAATAATCTAGCAACTGTTAAATATTTCAACACTCCAGTTAAGTGAACTTTGTAACTTATCACATAATTCTGATACATACACGACTGCCATGAACCACCAAAATGAGACCCTGTAATAATAACAAAACAAAAAGTTGTTAAAAAAAATGCTTAAACTGTGTATGCAATCTTTTGTTAAAATATTTGAAAAATTCCTAAAAAAAACTTGTAGCAGTTAATTTTAGCCCAGTGAATCATGCAAGATCTTTTATACAAGTATATAACATGGAGAAACTGCCTTAGAATCTATTTGTTGTTCTCTCCATCATATCATTACAGAATTGCACTTGTAAATTATTTGTCCACCTCCACACTTCCAAGTCTCAAGAGCAAAGGAATATATTACTGACAAATCAACTGGGCTGTTTCTATTCTTCCATCCCTTCCACATTGGCATCTCAAATTGGACTATAAGGTTCAAACCTATTATTTTTCAGAATTCTAAAGTATATCTACAGAGATATATCAGCGTATCAAAGGTCTTTGATAGCCACATGTAAAATCATACATTAAAGCCACAGTATACATATATACAGTCAACCCTCGCTTTACGCGGTCCCACATTCCGAGTTTCCACGTTTACGCGGTACCCTGCCGAAACCGGAATGCTCACATTCCGCGGTGCGTGTACCCCTTTACGAGGAGAGCGGCTGGCGAGCCACGCCATTTTTGGATCCAAACCTCCTGCCATCCGCCATGTTGTGTAAGCGGCGCGAGCAGGGTGTGCACAAGGTCGCCAAGTCATCAAAACATTACCGAGTTCTTCACCCGCCACCCACCACAGCCGGCCCAAGTCAGTGATAGTGATAATTATAGTGAGGATATGGACTTATATGGAGTTTGAGGGGTTTGACAAAGAGGCCCTGCAAGCCTCTGTGGTGGATAGTGATACAATTGATACAAGTGATACAGGTGAGGGCCAATAATCTGCCCTCTGCCTCGGAACCAACCCCCCATCCCCGTGTGCCCAGCCATCTTTTCTACTAATGTAAGTGTTAAAAAACCTAATATTATTGATATTTCTCTTAATTATTAATTGTGTGTGCATGCCATCATAAAATTAAGAAGTTATTTTTACTACAACGTAGGTATTGTGTCTGAAAAAGTGGAGTTTGGGGTCGGCCCGGTCTCTATTTCAATTAATCCCATATGTTATGTTGTTCACTTTCGCGTCTTTCACTTTAGCGGGCCGCGTGGGTTGAATTAACCGCGTAAAGTGAGGGTTCACTATATATATATATATATATATATATATATATATATATATATATATATATATATATATATATATATATATATATATATATATATATATATATATATATATATATATATATATGCAAGTAAATCACCACTATAGGTGCACATGATCCAAGTATATGCTGATAACCACAAGTAAACAAAAAACACGAAGTTCCCCAGCTGCTCCCTGACTTACGACAGGGTTAGGGACCCAAATCCAGGTCGAAAGTCGAAAATGCTTAAGTAATACATAGAAAATCTAAAATGGGTGTTTCTTTTTCTTCTCAGCATCACAAAACTCTCACTTTTAAGCTTGCCAGCCATTTTAAAGTGAATTACAAATGAAAATTTTGTCAGTTCACACTTCTGTTATTTAAATATTTTCAAGTACTTTCTCAAGATAACCATCTGATCTACACAGCCAATCACTTTCTGTATTTCTCATTCTGCCATAACTATAACTCTTAGCATATTCCTATCTTTCTCATTCAACAAATTATTATTATTTACTCTGTAGATGATCAACAACACACGCACACAGGCTCCTACTTCCACCAGAAATCCCTCATCTGCATATTGCTATTTGACACCAAAACCACATCCAGCCTATACGAGCACAAACTAATGTTACAAGAACAGCCCAGTCCCAACCATTGTAAAAATTATCATCAACTCGTAATCAACCAGTATATTCACTCCCAGTCAATCTCAATCTTGCCTTTTTGCACTGTCACTTAGTTGAAACGCCCTGTAGTTTGAGCTTCTCCCCACCTAGTTATTATACATCGTATTTGTATCACTTTTGTTACTTGTATATTATTTGTCAACCCGGTGACCCATTCCCCAATTATGTAACTGTATATTTTCAGCGTTCTGGCTGCCATGCTCTTCCAATAAACCGTTAATTATTATTATTACACACACAACTTGAATGTCAGTAAACACCTAACAAATGCAATATACGTATGTATTCTCTTCTCCCCCGAGTCAACATTTTAGGTTTGGGTGGGTAGTACTGTGCCTGTAACCCAAGTAATTTTACGTAAAAAACAAACTCTTATGTTTTCCTTTTTGAGGTAGAGGTTATTATAAATGGTTTGATTAAAATCAACAAATAATGAGACAAGTAATTAGTAAAATTCGTATTTATACTGTTTACCTGGAGCAAGTCCAAGGAATCCATCTTTAGCTTGAACAAACATATTAACATGGACACAGCACAGCTGGCCGTCCTCAGTAAATCGCCATGTCTGTGTCAGTCTTCGGCGGTCATCTGGCTTTCTTAGCATCAGTGGAGTGTATTCTGAAGGTTGTGGTGCAGGACCAGCTATATCTAGTACCTGTTGGAATCAAAAGGCATTGTTCTTTAGAAAATGCGAGGTTAAATTTTTCTACAAATATTTTTAAATTTGTAAAATCGAAGACTTTTCCTTATAAACTACTGTATTGGTATAACATGCCACTCCAAAGAAAGCAGCAGAAAATGGGATTAGATCATTGATTCTAACAATGAAGCATGATGCAATTTAAATACCAAACCACATCTGGACAACAGTTACTTCTGGGCAAATAAAAGGGATTGGATTGTTAAGAGCTAAGACATTTCCTGATTCATGACCAATTTCCTCCATAATCCTGATCCTGTTATGACAAGTGTCAAATGGGCAAAGAGTTTAAAAGGTGAGAGATAATTTCCAGGATATATGAGAATAGTTTTAACCACCTTATAATAATTACTGCCAAAAGCATACCGTATGGTATATACTCAAGTACAATTCAAGATTTTATGATAAAATTTTTATGCAAAAACTAGGCCAAGATTATTATTGTTCAACTCCTAATTTTGGGTATGTATAAAGTAGGTCTTCTTAGTACACAAGGGTTACATTCCTGGGATCCCCATGTAAGTGTGAATTCGAGGAAGTAAGTGAGTAAGTAAGTAAGTATGAATGTATGTATGTATTGAATTGTTTTATACCGAAAAACTCCTTAAACCAAACTGGCTGTTCACCAATTATTTTGGTATAGAAGGGTAATACTATTGTAAGCGTTTTAATGATGGTAAATTAAACATACAGTAAATAGTATTATTTACTGTACGATATGAAGGATATGAAAGCAGATGGTAAGTTTCATAAATTCTTAACAAAAGACATCAAAGAAAGTGATACTATATTATGGAAGCTGTTTTTCATACCTGTGCCTACTGAGAGAGCAATTATTTTATTTTATAATAAGATTAATTAGGAAGATTTACTAAATGACAATAAAGCAGAAATACAAACATCATTAAACAATAACAGATTTAAACAATATTGTAATCTGGTACCGATAACAAGAAATTTTGTTTCTTACATTATTAATTTTACATCAAACTGAAAGCTTCAATATTTACCAAAACATTAGTATTTTTTCGAGACTTCTTGCTGGTGGGGTCATGAGGGGGAGAGGAGCCTTCATGCTGCAACATTCCTGTAGATGTCATACACCAAAGTTGGGATCTTCTTCCAATTTCTTTTCGAGCTAGTTTTACCCTAGTTCCCTCTGGTACATCAAGGACCAACTGTTGACATTCCACTGCTGTTGGGTCAAAGGTCACATTCCCACTGTCACCATTGCCATTCCCCCCACATGCTCTGAAAGGGTAAATCAGCTATTTGAGGTTTATAGCAATTGGCTAATGCAAATTAATCATCTCCAAGGTGTAACAAGATTCATGCAACTTTATCAGTACAGTATAGTTTGGATAAATTAAAAAGTTTTATGTATTGTACAATACAGCCACTCCTCGACTTACGACGAGGTTAGGGACCCAAATCCAGGTCATAAGTCATGGTCGAAAGTCGAAAATGTGAAAATAGTTCATAGAAAATCTAAAATGGGTGTCTCTTTTTCTTCCCAGCACCACAAAACTCTCACTTTTAAGCTTGCCAGCCATTTTAAAGTGAATTACAAACGAAAATTTTGTCAGTACACAGCACAATCACTGACGTCAGGACTCGAAAATACAGTCCTAACAGACCTAAGTAATGTAACTTACACAGTATATAGTGCAAGAGAGAAGAAGAAAAACTATAAGATTATATTGCCTGCTTGGATTACTTTTCTGAATTATGAAATAAAAATGATATAGGAATATGGAAAATCAGGGAATTACTAGCAGACATGTGGCCGAAGCCATTGGAAAGTCACAAAGCTAAAGCCAGCATTTTTAAGGTCATGAAGCTGAAGCCAACCATTAAAAAAGTCATAAAGCGGAAGCCATTGAAAAATCATGAAGCCTAAGCCAAAGCCAAGGGTTTTCAAGGATACACCAAACTTTATCACCAATACAGGTTTCCCTTGCTACTTTTCTTATTGTAGAATTTTATATTTTCCTTATTTGTAAGTCATATTTGCACATTGAAATTATATTTCTACTACAGTACTTCTATAGTTTCTCATGAAAATAAACATTGCAGCAGTTGCTGTAATATTTCAATGAGCTAATGATTTGAGTACTGTACTATCTTATTTTTTCTATTATATGTTTGTTGGAAAGTGCAAACTGCTGCAATATTTGGAGAACTTAACATGAGTTGAATTGTAAATGAAATCAATGTGAATTACTCTACCTCATATTGTACCGTATCCAATATTGCAAAGTACAAATTAGCATGCAGGAGAAGTCTACTTTATTTACATACTAACATGTACAATAAACAACAACAATATAAACTTCACAACCTCAGGTAACTAATTTTTCAAAGAAGAAACACAGTAAACATCAGTCTTCTTGTTCTGAAGGTGCTCAGATGCTTTGTTATTAAAATCTTTTAATTTCTTAACACATTTTGCTTATCTAAAAGTCACACGGATCAGTAATTTTGTATGTACACTAATATCGTATATTAAGACATGCAAGAACCTTATTATGAAACATTCTACTAAACACAACATTTTATCCTCACCTTTATCTGCTGTGCTCTTGTCATCTCAAAAATTAGTATTTGACTATGTACTATTTCATCTAAAAAATTTAATACCTAACCAAAGTCAGTTATAAATTTTTCAGCTTCACAAAATGGTGACTTAAGCAGGATGTCTTGCAACTTTTGTAAAATGGCACATCCTCTTGAAGCTCAGTTCTTCAAACTTATTCCCTCTCACAAACAGTGCAAACTTGCACTTCATATTTGATGTCCACTTAAATCACTCCAGTCCATCTCACTCAAATCCATTTATTTGCATAATTCTACCCTTTCAGTTCCTTTTGCATAACATCAAGTAAAGGTAAAATAATAATTACAAAGTAAAAAATAAATAGATATAAATAAATAAAATACCTGTAAAAGAATTAAAAATTATATTTCATATGCACTTTCAGACACTTGGCTAAGATTGCCAGTGATGTCATAAAAAATTGTTACATGGTTCCCACAGGTATAAGAGGCTCATGTCAAGTGTATGTCTTAACCATAGACCACTGATTTTAACCATTAAATATTGTAAATAGGTTGCTAGGTATATCATCAAATAAGATCCTTTATAAGCTATTATGATAGCAATTTATCCATTTGCACAATGCTATATCAATGTAAAAAAATCCAAGGCACTAAAAGTAAACTCTAAAATGCAGTTCTTAAATTACCCTAACCTACTAAAAAAAAGGGGGGGTGGAATATTTAGACCCCTCATGAGATAAATACCGGTACCATTTGAAATTAAAAAATCAAGAAAGGACACTGGTTTTACCTATACCAGAACACTCAGCATGTAAACTTTGTGATAAACCTTAAAGGCATACACTTGAACACTATATTATTGAATGTGGCACTGTCAAAGACTTCAGGCCACCTGGCTTATTGTATCATGAACTTTGTAATTACTACAAGTATATTGAATCAGGGGTGCTTGGGGACATTCTTGCTGTTTATCCCAAATTTGCTAGCCCACACTGATTAGTCTTCAATTAGAATAGGACGTCCAATGTATTCGAACCACTGTCTTGCATGGCAGCGAACAGTGACAACACCCACATGAATCTGATATATATATATATATATATATACACATACATACATACTGTATATATATATATATATATATATATATATATATATATATATATATATATATATATATATATATATACACATACATACATACATACATACATACATACATACATACATACATACATACATACATACATACATACATACATACATACATATATACATATATATATGCAAGTAAATCACTGTAGGTGCAAACTGGGTGCAAACTGTACTCCAAGCTTTGTCAATAAATTTGTTTAACTAAAAAACTAACTGGTTTTAGCACTCATGAAGGTGAAGTTGACTTTTAGGAATGCATCCCTTGCAATAACCTGGGTACGCCTGTATATTCTTAACCAACCTTTCCAGTAACCTATGTGACACAATCAGCCTCCAGCTGGGAAAGACACATAAACAACATTGTTCTGTCATACCCAAATACTAACCCAGAAATCAATCCATGGTATAGATAGCAGACAACTTGTCTTCTCTCCCCTTGGTGTATGCCATCTAACATTTGAGAGCAGTAAATGCCTACAAAGGATCATAGGACATGACTGAACCAACATTACCCAAATTACTGTTGCAATCTATTACAGTACATTACTTACATATTAAAACAAGTTCTATGGGCATGTGGCTTGATAATGAAAGTATTAGAGGAAAAAATAGAAATAGAAATAAAGGAAAAAGTTGAAAGTTATGTAAAGGATTTTAAGATTATCAAAGATGTATGCCTTAAGGTAAGCTCAGAGACAGTCTTGGTTATAATATCAGTAAGTATAAGCTTCTTTGGAGAGCGTCTCTACATTTGATTATATGTGTTTACCCAACTAGCTTAAACTTTTACTTATTTGGTGCTATGCACAATTGAGGTGTATAATCCCCATTCAATGACTAAACCAATTACTATTCCCCCATATCACTCTCCCATTACCTTAAAAAAAATTGAGAAATTAACAAATACCTAATACTGTATTACTCATTCAGTATTTCACTGCTAACACATTGTATCCTCTCTATGTCCTGTCCTGAATTATTTTTTTGTTAGTCGGTAGTGCAAACTTAAAGCAAAAGCTAACAATATTTTTCACTGTGAAGTGATAACCCCAAGAAAAAAGAAAAAAAAAACAGGTGTGTGATTGGCTCAGTAAACACCACTGAAAATAATAGCCATCAACCCATCTATTGAACCCTTGTCTATTAGACTGAGAATCCCCAAAAGCTATCAACTGAGTTATGGGACCCTGTATATGAAAGCTTACTATTAAGAATGCCTAGATCATTAAAATAACATTATCAATAACTGGTAAACAAATAGCATCTGCTTTTTTAATATGAAATTTAAGTTCCTTACAAATATGTTACTTGTGTTTGCACTATGACTTAAATTAATATTATCTAAACCAATAAAACCTGTTTGGATACATGTATTTAATCTGCTACACTTCAGACATAGTGTGTACAAGTTGATGGCAGGTGGTGACACTTTTTAACAATTAATACCAAATGATATAATCACTCAGTATCAGAAACTTTCAATAAGCAAGTTCTCACTGCTATTAAATTATATTATATTTACATCCAGACTAATTAATATTATATACAGTACATCTAAGATAATCAAGAAGCAAAGAAGTTGTAATGAATAAAGTAATATGTTATAATATTTTGCTTTAAGCTCAATCACAAAAGCAATATTTTTGTATGCAAAGCATTTGGCCTAGAAAACACTTAATAGTTTAACTTTGCTTGACTAATACAGCACAAGTGCTTTCATTGCTTTTCAAAACCCATTTATTTTTAATTAAAAGATCTGAAGCCAGTAGCAAAACAGCCAAGAAGTTTGCAAATGGATAACTTGGAAGTTAATCTGCTACAAAATCACACTTCAAATAATAAAAAAATTAACATTTCTCCCAAATCTTGTCAATATTCCATGTAAGTGACATGTGATAAGCCACTGAGTGTATAGCAAACACAGCAGGCAGAGGTGAGAGACAGCATTCCAAGACACTTTTTAAATACTTACATGTGTAATGGCAACCTTCTTCAAAGGGTAAAAAAGATCCTGTTAGTTAAAAGTGTTTTGTGAAATGTAAGAAGCATAAAAATCATACAATATCATCCATATTTATAAGAAAATGTAACAGTGTGAGCAATCAAAGAAACAGTAGGCAATAATCAAGCAACCGGAAGTATCAAGTGCATTTCTCAGAAAGCTACAAAATCAATCCTTAACATTACACATAGAGGCAAAAAATATAATAAAACAAATCCTGTAGATACTTGCTTTTGAAATGTTCCAGTAAATGCAATGTAGATGAAATTCTCATAGGTGAGTCTTGCCCCCTCACCAAGTACATTCATGTTGTAGGTAGCTGATGTTCCCCCAGGAGCAACACAAGTCAGGTGGGGCTGTAAGATAACTTCATCCCAGGCATAAGCTACACATGATCGAGGTTTTACTACGGTTCTCAAGCGTTCCTCTTGTGTGCCTGTCTGTAAATTGTTTTTAGGATTGTTACAGTTTAGGGAACACACCTATTGTTGCAGATTCTTCATTAACAAAAAGAAAAAATTAATTGACAACTATTTTCATCCTAAAGGAAAAAATTTTCATGATATGCAGTACAGTTGACAAATGAGAATTGGTACAGGTGGCAGAATACACTAAACAATGGAGTACTCTATCTATTCATCAACCTTCTACAATTCCTTTCCACCTATTGTAAAACTGTCATAAAACACCCCATAACATGAGTGATGAAAAAACAAATTTTTGCTTTCACAATGCCCTCAAAGACATAAGCGATAGATCTGAGTTCAACAGTGCTATAGGAAAATGTAAAGTGTAAAAAAAAAAGGAGGGGGGGGGGGGATGGATTCTGTAATAACTGGACCAAGGTCAGACTACAGACAAAGTGTCGAGATAGAGTGATATACAAATGGTTCAAGCAATGAGATGTCAGCACAGAAATGCAAAATGTTACATACACCAGCTTGCACTTCCACCGTACCACTAGACAGCCGACTGGACACCTGACTCGCCTCAGATAATGCTTCACCCCTCCATCACTACTGGAATCTTCCACACCTCCAAACATTTCTCCATTTCCAAAATCAGTGAATAATTTTATTTTACCTATATACAGTACACTGTCCTCTCACTTAACACAGATTTTTTCAACATGGATTTGCTCAAACATGTTTTTCTTTTTTACTATCTGGTAGTTCCCGGTATTACTTAACACAGGGCCAAGGTTCGCTCGAACACAGGTTGAACCGGGCTAACATGGCAAAATTCGGCTGAATGCGGGCAGTTAAAAACGTTTTACACAGGCCAGCGGTCGAGTCCATTACAGTCCAGGGTAGCTTCCCTACGCACCACGTGGGCCCAGAGTTTATATAGTATTTGGTCAGGCCACAACCAAAAACTTCGCTTAGATTAACTTCAGCATTTTTACCTGCTTTCGTCACCAAGGGTCCACTTAAATTTTCTCCAAGTGTGAGGGGAAGGGAGGTGAGATGGAAGGGAGAGATAAAAGAGTAAGATAGAGGTGGATGGAAACTTGCGCACGCATGCGCGCACACACACACACACACACACACACACATCATGTTTAAGTTAGACCTTATGACTAGAGACAGGCCAGTCCGCTATGTCTGTCAAAGTGGTTTCTCAGTGAACGAGACAATCAAGAAGAACGAGAGCCATAAATGGCTAGATAAACATAACTTTCTTCATATATATCCAACATACAGAATGTGTAAAAAAAAAAAAAAAAAAAATCATCAGGTCAAAAACATAAAATGATCAAACATTTCCATCATCATAAGGTCGCCTAGTCAACAAAACATTACCGAGTTCTTCACCCGCCACCCACCACAGTCAGCCCAATTCAGTGATAGTGAGGATATGGACTTTGAGGGGTTTTACAAAGAGACCCTGTAAGCCTCTGTGGTGGATAGTGATACAAGTGATACAGGTGAGGGCCAATAATCTGCCCTCTGCCTCGGAACCAACCCCCCATCCCCGTGTGCCCAGCCATCTCTTCTACTAACGCAAGTGTTAAAAAACCTAATATTACCTGTATTAATATTTCTCTTAAATATTAATTGTGTGTGCATACCAACATAAAATTAAGATGTTATTTTTACTACAACGTATGCATTGTGTCGGAAAAAGGATAGTCTGGCGGTCGGCCCAGTCTCTATTTCAATTAATCCCATATGTTCTGTTATTTCGTTTACGCGTTTCTCGTTTTACGCGGACCTCCACGGGTTTAATTGACCGCGTAAACCAAAACTATACTGTACAGTCGACCCTCGTTAAAATGGACCCCTTTAATCCAGATATCGGATAAATCGGACGAAATCTGAATTAAGCGAGGGACTGTCCGAGTCAAATTTCTGGTTCTGGGATTGTCCGATAGATGGCGCGCGCCAGACCGCCAGTCACTGTTGACTTAGCGCCATATTCGAGTATCAGTGTTGTGTTGCTCTGCAATTTTCGTTGATATTTCAGTGATTAGGCATCTTTCAGCCATGTATTTTACATCATGTCTTCAAGGTGGAGTACCTCTAATACGCCAAAGAGGAAGTATGCGACCCTTTCTGTGAACCAGAAACTGGAACTTATAAGAAAGTTAGAGGCTGGTGCTTCGGTGGCTAGAGTTTGTGACGATATGGTGTTAAAAAGCAAAAAGTTTCGGACATACGCAAGGCGAAGGACAAACTCACTGCATTTTCTTTGAAATATAATGCAATTTTATGCAATATTAACCCATAAATCGGTTAATTCGGACAATTGGCTAAAACGGACACCCTTCCCCCCCTATTAGTCCGTTTTAACGAGGGTCGACTGTATAAACAAGCTAACATTTGCATTAGGCATACAAATTTTAGATTAATTTAAGAATTTTATTAGAGAGAGCAAAAATTTTATCTTTTGTGCAAAATATATGACGTTTATATTCAAATTATTCGCTGTCTTGCAAGGATTCCAGCAATGCAAATTATATTCTCCTAAATTTAGACTGAGATAGTATATAAGATTAAAGCCTATTGTATAACCAGAAACCTTCGCTGGGAGGATGGGGGGGGGGGGGGGGGGGGGGGGAGGGTTGGGTGGGTGGGTGGGTGGGTGGGGTGGGTGGGTGGGTGGGTGGGTGGGTGGGTGGGAGGGAGGGAGGGAGGGAGGGAGGGAGGGGTGACAGTGACATGTTTGACAGTTAGTGCCAAGGTCTGGTGAAGTATTAATTTGTTTATTTATGTCCTTTAGATTGAGTATTTGTTTTTTGCTTATACAATTTCATAGACGTGATCGGGGGAGAATATTATTTGCAGTGCTGGAATTCTTATAAGATAGTGATTAATATGAATGTAAACATGCCATAGTTTGCACTAGACAAAATTTTAGTAATAATTTTGTACATTATTCTGATTACATGTACAGTTCAGCTTTGTCCTTAGGACAGTGTGTGCATGTAAATGAGTTTCAATAAATGAATAAAGTTACATTTATCGAGCCAAAAATAATAGTTGAAAAACTTTATGTAGACAGAACTTGGATGGCTAAATTTTAGAATGACCAATAATTTTAATACTGTGTAAAAAAAAATGCACAAATATTAAAGAGCACAATTTTCTTTATATTTATTCCATTGGAAACGAATGTAAACATAGAAGAGATTACTGAATTGGCTGAGTACCTCCTCAGCTTATCAGCTGATGTTCAAAACAAAATGTGATTTTCGTAGGGATTTCGTTAATCAAATTTTTTTCGTTAACCGGATTGAAGATTCTTATGGAAGGTAATTCGTCAACCGATGCGTTTGTTAACCGAGGGACCACTGTATATAGAATATTTTTTTATTCAGTTACATGTACAGTAGCTAAAACAACTATCTGTGCAGGAGGGGGTCGATATGCTCCAAAATTTTACCTGTGACTAGTGACAGCCCTCATAATACCAAAATTTATCGTTCATGGTCTCATATTGTTTCCCGCACAGTATGCACAGATAATTGTTTTAGCTACTGTACACAATCTTATATACAAACTGTGAAAAAAATAATCAATCATAGTTAGGTAAAAAACAAACAGATTAACAGTCCTTCGTCCACTAGTGAGAGTTAGCAGGATGGGCTAGGGGAGTTATAGTTATTTTTCAACTCATAATTTCTGGAAGATAAACTCAACTTTCTTCACTTTATTTTACCCAGTTACATGCAAACACAATCCTACATACATAATGTGAAGAAAAAATAAAAGAAATAACTATTATAAATGTAAAAAAAATTTCTTTGTGTGCCAAAGTGGGAGGGGGAGAGTCGCTAAGGGTCGAGAGGGGGCATCCCGGCTGGATTGCTATGGTGAGGCTTGAGGGCAGGCACGCATGACGCAAACAAGCGTTTATGCAAATGGTGGCTATGTTAAACTTTCATTAATCTTTTTCTTAATGGTTTCAGCTGCATATTTTCATCTTAACTGTGTTTTGTTAATGTTTTTAATGTGTTAGGTAGTGTATTACAGTAGTAGTGTACAGTACTATATATCATTAGTTAGGTCAGTTTTTTGTTGTTCAGGAATTGATTTCATGGAAATTCCAGTGTCTTCACAACATCATTTTTAAGCGAATTTGGCAGATGTATGTGCATTAGTGAGCTACTTTGGAGCTGTACAATGTCTCTGAACTTTGGTTTTGGAATGTTTTTGATGTGTGTGTGTGTGTGTGTGTGTGTGTGTGTGTGTGTGTAGATGGGGGAGGGGGACTTTTTGGAGTCCACCTGATGCCATCCCCTATTTTCCCATGTTATAATGGGTTTGCTCTACATGGCTATTTCCGGGAATGCAACACCTGTGTTAAGCGAAGGGGCAGTGTCTACTGACGTATGAGTCAATTTTTGAAGCTTAAAAACATTCCCCCCCAAAACCAGGTATTCTATTCTAAACTGCACCCCCAATTCTCTCTCTCTCAAAGTGCAGCTTATAAATACACAAATACTGTATATTAACATTGTAAGTGTTAGAGAATAATGAAATAAATTAATTAAACAAGTAAGCATTCTGGTTATAAATTTTAAATAACATTACTTTAGCACATTTCTTATTAGTATTACTAATTAAATTTTTCTTTGTAACCTTGGGGTTTTCACTTGTAAGCCAAAGTATAGGAAAATTTTAGTTTTTGTAGCTGCCAATTTTTGTAAATTAAATCCTTGTAAATCAGGGTCTTCAGTACAGTATCAAACTACCAATTCTGGAAGCAGAAGTCAAGGAAACTCCGAGCAAAAATTATAAGGCTTGTGGTGCAACATAAATACAGTATATTCTCGTTTTACGCAGTCAATTAAACCCATGGAGGTCCGCGTATAACGCAAAACGCGTAAACAAAATAACAGAACATATGGGATTAAATGAAATAGAGACTGGGCCGACCGCCAGACTACCCTTTTTCTGACACAATACGTACGTTGTAGTAAAAATAACATCTTAATTTTATGATGGTTTGCACACACAATTTATATTTAAGAGAAATATCAATAATATTAGGTTTTTTAACACTTACGTTAGTAGAAGAGATGGCTGGGCACACGGGGATGGGTGGATGGTTCCGAGGCAGAGGACAGATTATTGGCCCTCACCTGTATCACTTGTATCACCTGTATCTTTATCCACCACAGAGGCTAGCAGGGCCTCCTTGCCAAACCCCTCAAAGTCCATATCCTCACTATCATTGATTTGGGCTGGCTGTGGTGGGTGGCGGGTGAAGAACTCGGTAATGTTTTGTTGACTGGGCAAGGAAGGTTAAATAGACCAATCACAGCTCACGGCGGAGGGGATGCGTGGGTAGTAAGGATGCGTGGCCCAATCATAGTCCGAAACGTCATCTGATGTCAGCGGTGATGTAAGAGTGACCTAGCGCGCAGCTTGTCCGCGCCGCTTCCTGCGTAAATTCAGGAATGTACCGCGTAACTAATAATTGGCGCGTCTGGACAGGTGCCACGTAAATGACCAACCACGTAAGGAAAATCCGCGTAGACTGAGACTATACTGTATTGTAAATGAAAGGAAAGGGATAGAACAAAACATAGAAATACAGTATCCACAAATAAATGCTCTCATTCTTAACTTGCATAACAAATATACACAATGAATCTCAGACATTCTTCAGGAATGTCAATGCTTCTTAGCCCTTTGGATTGTCATGAGTAGGGATGAAACTAGCTGTTACCAGTTACTCATGTCTTAACATAGAGAGCCCTCATGATTGGCTTAGACAACTGCTGTTAACCGAGATCGTGGTTTCCAACAAGCTAACTGTCAGAGGGTTGCCGGAGTTTACAGTATGAACTTCACTGTAGGTGAGAGTATCGTGTTATAAGAATATCCAACACCTCCTCAACAGTGGTGTTTTCCGAATAACATAGGGAACCTATTAACATGTATCAAAGACTGTCACCAGAAGGTAATCCTGGAGTGCATAAAATTTTTGTAAGCATTGTAACAAAGTTTAAAGTGGTCAAACTGGCCAAAATTTAAACAGCAGAATAATTTAACACATACGTACAGTGAGACATGGACAGGAAAATTCTATTATCTTCAACCATATACAAAATGAAGAATATGCAATAGATTGGAATAAATCTTCTATGATTTATACCTCCAATTGTAGTTTCAGTAAAAAAAAGTCAAATCTTCATTTATTACCTGTATATCAAACATTAATGTGGGATATGGTCAGTGAATCCCAGACCTGATCCTGAAGAATGTCATCAGGAAGAATTTCCCTAGTCCCCACCCTTCTTCAACTCAGGAAACAGGTCATGTGACCTGATTCTCATATTCTATGTTTTTTCCCTTGCTTTGTTCTGTTAGTTAGCTGAAGAGGGTCTTAGTATATGGACCAAAATATACCAGCTCCAAGATTTCGTCTTTCGTGTCTTTAATGTGGGCTTTTACTTCATTTACCAATGTGACCATTACACTTTCATAATATATATACAGTATACAGGTAAATCTCTATTTATGCTCTCCTAATCTATTATAAATTGAATTAACAATGCTTGGACTAAGAAAATAATACTTGCTGATTAACAGAGATATCATATTATGAAAAATAAAAATAGTTATTCAGTACTCTAAAAGCATATAAAGAAAAGCTTTCTTACCTGATAGTAAGTGATTGAAACCTCAGAGAAATTGTCAATACGAAATGGGGGTGGAAGGGATTCAGCATCGGTGAAAACAATGAAGTATGTGGCCTCATTGATAATAACTTCAACACGTATGAAGAAGCAGTGGCCACAGTTGTCCCTGTTTAATAGATGTAACTTGTTAGATATAACTTATGCAAACTGAATTTTTTTTAACAAAATGTTTTTAACTTTTTTCTCTTCATGAAAACAATTACCGGGTAGTCCCTTATATGTTTGAGTCACAATCTGATGCTAGGCTTGTAAATACAGTACAAGCAAAAACCGTTATATGATGGGGTTAGGGAACTTAAAAGCCATCGATAATGATTGAACATCTATCGACATAATAACTTATGAGAAAAAATAATGGTAAATTCTTACAGTGAATAAAAAAATATAACTAACCTGATGTTGAGATAGAAAGAATTAATCTTTTCAATGAAGAAACCACCAGACCAGTAACATCCTGGGATATCCCGCAAGTAAATACAAAGGAGTTGATCTTTGTCAAGACGTGGCCAGTGGAAAGGGAGCCAACAACCTGAGATGGCACGTAACCATGTTGACTGAGCACTTGGATCAGTCTGTATTAAAAAACAAAAGTAAATACTTGTAAAGTATCATCAGTCTTACAATTTCTATTTCAATAAACTATCAGTTTACAAATTTCATTATATTTTGAAGGAAAATACAGTTCATTAATGTGATAAGAAATTATCCCTTTTATTCATCAAAATCGTATCAGAATACAGTAATAACTTCAAAACCGGAACTCTCTGATAGCCGGAATTGAAATTTTCTCGGAAAATCGTTCACAAAGCCGGAATTTTCCAGAAAATTCCGACTATGGGAACGATTTTCTGAGGGGCACATTTTCCGGAAATTTAGAGAAAATTTTCCCGGTACTCGGAAAATTCCGGGGATGGGGGAGTTTTTTCTGGCTTTGATAGAGTCGTCTCGTTACCCGGAAATCTCTCATTCCCGGAAGTGCTCTGCAACAATTGTTCCGGCTAACGGGGATATCACTGTATTTAGAATATGACATTAAAGAGACTTGTGAGTCCAATTGAGTTATGAAAATGAGACTAAAAAGATGCACTGCCTTTTAACCACTTATATAACATTATGAAAATATACAAGTAGAAATATTATGGAATAAAATACGTTAAATCATCACAACTTACAAAAGAAGTTGTGAAACACTTCTGGGCAATAATCAATTCATGAGAAGACCTATTTTCAATCTGGAATCTAGGCGAGAAAGTGACCATGTAAGTATCTCTATAACGGCCACGACCAGGTCTCACATCAATACCAACGATATAAACATGGTCTGGTCTATTATCAGGAGGGCTTACTCTCAATCGCCGAACCCATGTTCCTTGTGTCAAGGGCAGCTTGTGGCAGTACTGCAAAGGAGTGAGACTATGTAAGACACATTACACCCTCATCTCGCAAATTCGTGCTAATTGGTCCCCCACCATGGCCAAATTTCTGAAAGTCATGGATTAGCAGAATGAGCATTAAAAATATATGAAAATTGCTACAAAGTTAAATCTAAATGTGCAACATAAAGCTTGATTGCTTCATAAGCATTAACAGCAATGAAGAATAAACTAAAAAGCTATTTTATTGCAGTTTACTGTTTGGTGTAAGAAACTTTTTTCTGGGGTACTTTAGGATGATTAGTGACAACTCCATGCAATGGAAGTTTTGGTGCAATTTTTACTATGTCTATACCTGTACTTCTCTGAAAAAGAGAAAACACTTATAAATATGTACACATTATGTATGAGTAAAACATAAAATAAAACATAGAAGAGGGCTTAATATTGATGAATATTCTGTTAGCAAGGCTCATTCCTTAAGATCATCATCATCATCAAGGTTATACAGCCACTTTCCATTCTTGCATGGGTTAGCTGTGATTGCGCTATGACAGCTGGTGGGTAAAACCAGAACAGGATATACCCATCTGCTCACCACTGCTAATCCAGAGTGTCAGTCCAGAAAATGCAGCAGAGACCAGGGGATGGATACAGCTCTGGTGACCCAGTTGCCATTAATATGCTGAAGTGAAGTTTTAATGTTGGAAGTCCTTCCTAATGCCAACCCAAAGAGTGAGAAAAACTGGCAAGGTAGGGTCACAACTCTCTTAGATAAATAATCAAAGAGTATCAGCCTACCTACTCAAGATGTTTATTTAATATGAAATAGACAGGTCACTGCCATTCACTCTATGCATAGCTGGAAAAATTAAGTGCAAAGCACTTGATTGACTGTACTGAGGTCACACAAGAGTAAAGCTTAGAGGGAACATTGTGACAATAAAGTTACAGTACAATGAAAGAGTTTAGGATAGGTATATTTTAATTATGTGCTGATATAATTCAAATTTAAATAATACATGCATCATAATGATGGTGAAAGTATGATGATGAAGAATGATAAAATGACAAAGGAAAACTACATAAAAACAGATATATAATTGTCAATATACAGTAATTTAATATCCAAGAGAAGTACAGTATTTTCTGTAAAAAACTAATTCCTACCTATTTACTAGTTTTAACTACTCCCACTTTTCAGTGGGACACATTAAAAAATACAGAAACTTCCAAGAATATGGGAACTAATAGGGAGAGTGGTGTACGACAAATGTGTAAAATTATAAGAAAGGGATAAAATTAGCCCCCCCCAAATAAAATTAAGTAAAACTTTTTTTTTTTATAAATGCATATCTCACCTGTGCACGTGATTCTGGGTGCAACTGATTACCAACTCTTGCAACCAGCATGGGGTTAGCATCACGATCAGTGAAGGAGAAGAGTAATGGGGCAGCACATCGAGCAACCTCATGTTCCTTGTCTTGACCTATTAAGATTTTCAAGTACAGTATACCAATGGACTTTAAAAGAATTGGCGAGGGATTGTACATAACAACTAAAGCTGAAAATGGGACATGCAATGAATACTGAATATTCCTTTAAACATCTTGACCTCAAACAAATCACACTGGTTATAAAAATAAGTCTTGCAAAGAATGATGGCTGAGCCAGTGCTATATCCCACAATCAAAAAATATGGCCCATATGCTTTTATTCTTACAAAAATTCATACAAAATTAATGTTTGCAGAACAGTACTAGTTTCTGTGAGATAATAACAATTGTTCAAATTGAAAACTGAAAAAAAAAATTTTGGGCTATGGAACAAGTGTAAGCATATGATACAGGTGTTATGACTGGACCAGATGTAAAAGAAACAGTTGTCAAGTTTAACTTCAGTATCATACCAGCAGCATCAGTAGACACTCCCTCCTGTTTAAAGATGAGTGGTAACCCTGTCTTGTTGATTAACCAATACCCTGCATACACAACAACCTGCAACACACGCAAAATAAAAATAATCAACTTTGAAGAAGCATACGGTAAGAGATATTAATTATGATGTTATGATAATTAAATGATTTTTAAATGAATTACTTAATGTGAACATTTGAACACAAAGCCTCAAAAGGGGTAAGTGATCATGAGTAAAAATGTATTATCAGTGCAAGTGCACTCCACTTTTAGTTAAATGAGAAGGTTGCACGTCACATGGGCCCCTAGTACTTATAAGTCACAACCTAACCTGACCAATGAGATTAGAAGCCATGAACACTGAAGCTCCTTACAGACTGGGACTTTTTGGGGATTATTTACCCTTTAATAAGCAGCTAAAGGATTTTCCACTTCCCTCCCATATGTGCAAAAGTGGAATGCAAATGAACATGAAACTTCCACAGACAATAGCCAGTGTCCTTACAACTAACTTCCACTGACGATAGCTGCTGTTTATGGGTTAATCATTCATCACTGGACATGAAAATCTGAGTCAAGAGATGGCGAATCTAGACACAAACACACAAAACACATATAAATAATAATGGGAAAATCCACTCACAAATTATCAGAAATAAATTTAGTATTAAAAATGTTGAGTCTACCCTCAAGTCTATTCCGTACTTTATTAATAACAAAGCATGGAGTAGAATTGAGGGTAGACTCAACATTTTTAAAACTAAATTTGTTTCTGATTATTTGTGAGAGAATTTTCCCATTACAGTCAACCCTCGCTTTACGCGTTTCCACGTTGACGCGGTACCCTGCTGAACACGGAATGCTCACTCTCCGCGGTGTGTGTACCCTTTTACGCGGAGATCGGCGCGAGCAGGGTGCGCACAAGGTCGCCCAGTCATCAAAACATTACCGAGTTCTTCACCCGCCACCCACCACAGCCAGCCCAAGTCAGTGATAATGATAGTGAGGATATGGACTTATATGGACTTTGAGGGGTTTGACAAAGAGGCCCTGCAAGCCTCTGTGGTGGATAGTGATACAATTCATACAAGTGATACAGGTGAGGGCCAATAATCTGCCCTCTGCCTCGGAACCAACCCCCCATCCCCGTGTGCCCAGCCATCTTTTCTACTAATGTAAGTGTTAAAAAACCTAATATTAATGATATTTCTCTTAATTATTAATTGTGTGTGCATACCATCATAAAATTAGGAAGTTATTTTTACTACAATGTAGGTATTGTGTCTGAAAAAGTGGAGTTTGGGGGTCGGCCCGGTCTCTATTTCAATTAATCCCATATGTTATGTTGTTCGCTTTACGCGTTTCTCACTTTACGCGGGCCGCCGTGGGTTCAACTGACCCCGTAAAGTGAGGGTTCACTGTATTATTTATTTGTACAGTATGTGTTTTGTGTATGTGTGTCTATACACACACATATATACAATACAGGTAAAAAATAATTGTCTTAAGGGAAAACACAAAGGGAATATACTTTTTTTGTCCACAAGTAAAAATGTAACCCCCCCCCCACCCGCTGATCAGCAAACATTATTCGTGGATTTGGTGATTCACGGCCATTTTGAGAACCTAACCCCAGCGAATTTGAAGGGCATATTGTACATTTTCCAAACCACGAGCATTTGAAACTCTTTCCTATGTAACATAGAAACCATGATTACATTTAATTATTATCAGAGAATGATTCACTAACCTTAAGAGCACCTCCATACTGAGGCCGAACTTTAAGATGAACATAGAGGATGCGTTTCTGTAGATCTTGAAGCTTAAGTGGCATCACGTAAGGTGAGGTTGCAGGATTTAAAGTAATCTCTCCACAAGGATGAAGAGTGTCTGTCCATATAGACAAAGACACACTCTGTGCTGGATCGACTGAGTGTAGACAGGCATCTTCTCCAGGCTTCACCCGATACTTACTTCCTGTTGCCTTTACTTCATAGTGTAAGTCATAAGGTAAAAGATTTACCAAGGTAAGTGGACTAACCAGTACAATTGTGTGGCCAGGCTGAACCTATAAGACAGATATACACCTAATGAATGATGATAGACTTCACTAGAAAATATAAAAATATTCAAACTAAGGAAAGGTACTTAGCTAATATATCAGCAAGAAGACATTGATTAATTGATTGTGGTAATTACATCCCTGGCGACGCAACAGCTAAGATCATATGTCGCTGAATTAAAATAAAGGCTTAAAAGGCTAAAATCAAATAATGCATGGTAAAAAAACATAAGTAACAAATAACATAAAACTTTCATAAATAAACATTTAAATGTTAATACATAAATTGGAGAAAATTAGACAAAAAGCCATTAATTAGAAAAAGACATCCCTTTACTTCTCCAAAGGTAATATTTACAAGTTAAAACAATCTTTTTTTTTTTTTTTAAGAATAGCCCACCCGGGCACAAGTCATTGGCCTACAGTGTGGCCTGGAGGGTGAAAAAATAAGAGTTGAAAGAAAAATAAATAAAAACTAGAAGTGAAAAAGAGTATGTTAGTCTACACCACGAAGATGACGGAAAACCAGGTTTTTGAAATGAGACAGAATGTATGAGGATAGAAACACAGAAGAAGGCAGAGCATTCCACAGCTTGGCTGTGTGAGGAAAGAAGGATGTACTATAACGGGTTATTCTGGCGTGACCGATATCCACATAGAAATGGTGGGCACCGTTGTCAAGACGAGCGTTACGAGCCCACTGTCTTGCCGGTGGTACACACGATGCCAAATCCACCGAACATTGCCCGTTAAAGTACCTGTAAAAGAGAGAGAGTGAAGCAACATTGCAGGGAAGAGAGATTATTAACCAAAGGAGGAGAGTTAATAAGACAAAAGGTCTTTGATTCCACCTTATATAAAAGTTGGACAGTAGAAGACCCACCCCAGATATGAGAGCAGTACTCCAAGTTAGCACATATGAATCCCTTATAAACCTGAAGCAACTGCTCAGGAGTGAAGTAGCTACGGCATCTGTACAGCATTCTCAGCTTTCAGGAGGCAGCTTTAACAATGACATACAGGTTCTCCTCTACTTAAGAACATTCAACTTACCGTACAAACTTTCAGAGATACAAACATTATCAGGTGTTTAATGTGGATGAGACTGGATTATTTTGCAGAAAATTCCAGATAGAATAAACATCACTTAAGAGGAGAAGAGTGAGCCAGGTTTTAAGGCTGTACGTATTAAGGGGTATAGCTGTACTCAATATCAATAATCTTTTAATTTTTTACAATATATTTGGTATGCACAGAAGTAAAATTGGACTTACAAACAAGCCTCAGGAACGTAACTCGTTCATAAGTAGAGGAGCACCAGTATTAGAGGAAATGGTGAGGCCAAGCATACAGTATCTATTTTAGAATTTGGCAAAATGATTACCGTACTGTCCCTGGGTTTTTACAATTAGATCTTATCAATCTTGTTAATATCACAAAAAACCTAACAGTTTTAAATTACAAATGTTTACTGACCCACTCGTTATGACGAGAAGCTGTGTACGCAGAACTTGATGGTGGAGATAAAGTTGAGACCTCAATAGGAAAATTATCTCTCTTAACATGAACACAAAACCTGTGGGTTTTAATATTTATAGTATTACTAAGAAAATAAATGTAAAATTTCAAACAGTATATAGATCACACATGAAATACATTAACTATCAAAATATAAAACAGTAAGTAATTAAAAATTTTCTTCAAAGGTTAATTTTAATTATTTGTTGACATGGGAGTAATTGATGAAAGGTCCTTCAAGTACAGTATGTAGTTTCATTTGCTTTTGGCATTGAACTTTGAAGACACTATTTGCTATTAAGTGATTTATTATTATGTGGACAAAAGTCAATTAATCACTTCTTAAGAAATTAACTCTTTACAGAGTAAATATGACAGTTTAACACTAATATGCCAAACCTTTATTGCAATTTTAAACATTTATATGCATACCATGCAGAAGAATGCATGCAAAACTTACCTCCAAGAAAATACAAAATTAGGAATACCTGCATTGACTCAAGGTAGATTTAGTACATATATATATAAAAAAAAAAAAAATCTGACCTCAACTGCTACCAGTAGAGCTTCAAGGGGCATTAGAATCAATGTGTCGAGTCCTATAGAATGTTAACATAATGAATAAACCTATAGAAAAAATTATTATCTTAATTTACTTATTTCTTACACCACCATAATACTGTACCATATTTCCAAAATCTGGACCCTAGTCATAATGAAATTTTTATAAAATTTTGACATCACCCCCTGGTTAGGTAGATTTATGTTACTGTTAATGATTATAGTACAAAATAACACAACCTTCTGACATACATAAGCAAGATTAACCTTAACTTTTGTGGGTTGACTTCAAGAGCATTCCTTCATAAAGATGATGCATTAAATTTCAAGTCATACAACACCATTTAGAGTATTTATAAAGAATAAAGATCATCAATCAATAACTCAATTAGCACAAGTTTACTAAAGTTTCAGTGAAGAAGAAATTATTATGCACTTTACTTTCATAGATATGCTTTCACTGCCTCTCAAATAAAAGTTCTTATTATTTATCTTTTAGAGCTATTTTTAAGAAAAAAAATTATTATATGGGAACATGTTTATGATACTAATTGCTTCTGCTGAGAGGTGTATTGTAACACCAAAAAAGATGTTAGTCCAGCAGTTAAAATATTAAATATAGTAGACTTCATTTACATTTTCAATTAAGAAATAGAAACATGAAGAATATGAGTAAAATTAGGAGGAGATATCAAGAACCTTTTACAAATTCACCTTGGCAAAAATATGAACAGCAAGGAGCCAAGCTAATGTAGAGATGTAGAGAGAAAAAACTATTATCCTGAATGATTGCAATAAAAAAACACCAAAATCTAACTCTTTACAAGTTGCATGCAAATAAATCAACTCTCTCATATAAGTACAGCATATAAATGATAAGCAAATTAAAAACTAGTCCATACACAGTACAGTACAGTATACCCTTGATATGTGCAGGTTCTACCTATGTTATTTTAATATGCACTTAGGCAATAAGTTTGTAATGCACATCCTCAGTTCTACACAAGGCAAGCTATAGCACCATAAATCATATATCAGTATGTATACAGTAGGTATATAAATTATATCAGCCTCTTAATGTTATGGTGTAAGGTGGCCAGACAGATGCTGATTTCCTAAAGCTTAATATTAAGCAGCAAATGAGTTATTCCACCCCCTGGGTGTTATGAGTCCACCAATACTCTTACAAAAGGTTGTTCCCTCATCAGCCAGTGCACCCAATAGTGTACTGTACTTCTTTACAGGTGAGGGCACAGGTGCTAGGGTACAAGGAAGGAATCTAATACTTCTCAATGGCCAGGAACTGAACTCATAACCATTTGCAGCCCCGAGTAAAAGCTCTACAGGGGTAGAAATTCACCATTTTTTCATAGTCGCCAGCAGGACTAGTAGATTTGAAAATTTACTAGTCCTTATAAATTTTTACTAGCCCTTAAACAATTTGTCAAGAAACATTAAACATTGGCACTTACCGGGTTTAGACAAAGTTCTATTTACTGCGTGACATTTATTTACTTGTATAAACCATGTTAAATCATAAACCAACACTGGAATAATCACATATTAACTAAATTAATTGCATGGAGCACATTCCACTGTGATGAAGCTATTTGGAACTTACCAATATATCAAAATTATTTCCTAATCCAAATGTAAACCATATTCATCCACTTATTTTGAATAAAAGGCAATAAAAATTCTCATATTGTATAACTAACAAGTGAACTTGCTGTGCTTAGGTTTGTAAACTGCACTTTAAATCCTCTGATTATTATCAACAGTCATCAAGTTATTTCAATGAACACACTGGATGAACTATAACATACAAATTGGATCGACTTTAACTGAAACCTGGTGTAGTTCCACCAGTGCTTCCCAATTGGATAATAATAATATATAATTTATGCAAAAGAAATAATGATAACGCTAGAGTAAAAAATAAGAATGTGCGAAAGCTTTTAACCATGACCAAATTCTAATACTATATCTTTATAATTCACTTTGCTCTATAATACAGAAGTTAATTACAATTTGATTTTGAATGTATGTGTGAACTGGTTGTCAAATTCCGTACGCTTATTATTTTTCGGTATCTTGTTTGTATCGATGATAATCTGAATATGTACGTGAAATTGTTTTTTGATAATAAATGGTGTGATTGTTGATGGAAAGGCAGTTTTCATCACTTGTCAATTGTTTTTATTCTTGCCTATTATACATTCAGGTATTAAATTTCGGTCATTGCTTTTATATATTATGTATAGAAATGAATTCCTCATTAATAATTGCATATCTACATAATTAGACTGCGTTTATTCATTACAATGCACGGTTTCCATACACCGACATGAATAGCGGTAGTATCTGTGTGCGACGTCATACAATCCCCGAACCGGCCTGGTGTTCTAGGTGGCATTGCACCAGCTCATTTGTCCAGTTTTATCACACTACATTATATCATTGAGTGTATATATTTTATTTTAATTTTAATATCAAGTATTATATACATAAAATGGATATCCCTTCCGCTTGCAATACCGGTGATACAATTAAGATAACTAGTATTAATAGTGTATTCTCAATATGAAGCTCTTATACACATTGAGTGTGTCTTACCACTGTCTTCGACCCACTCGCCCATCAGGCGATTCCAGATCAGCAAAATAGTAAAATCTTGTCGCCCTTATGATATTTTGATCACCTTGGGTGACCGGGCGTATGTGAATTTCTACCCCTGCTTTATGAACTGATCTACCTACACTACCAACAAAAAGTGACAATTCAAGAACAATTAAATGTGTTAATTAGAGCAAACCCCAGGTTGCATTTATATGTGCTTAACACGTAGAGTGGTGCAAGGTGTTGGAGTGTTTTGTCATTCAAGATTTTTCCATTAAGAAATAAAAGTTGGACTTGTGCAAATCTGATGTACTGTACTGTAAACAAAGTTTTAAAGAATGTAACCTGTGCATATATCAAAGGCCACTGCATGGTCTGGATAGTAGTGACAATAAAAAAATACTTCAGAAGCACTCTATATATAATCAAACCTAAATGGTGAAGAATGTGTGTTGATTGCTGGACACATTCGTAAATCTGCAGCCACCTGACGAGGTTGAAGAAGTGTGAGCCAATGTAGGGGCTCCTGACAAAATAACCAACTACCCCTTAGTGGACTGCTAGGTCGCACAAAGAGGCGAGCCCAGGCGTACACCAAAGGTACAGGTATAGTCGTCTTGGGTGCCACTTGTAGAATTTTAACGTCTGAGATAATGGAAAACAAAATAAAATGACTACATACTAAGTGAATAACATAAATACTGTATGTTTGAGGCTTAGGCCTTGCAAAATGTTTCAGTAAATGAACCCTTGGGTATGATATAAAACAAAAATAAGCCATTAAAAAAAAATATATATATATAAAAAGTGGTTCCTTGGGTAACGAACACAATTTGTTCCTGAGGGTTGTTCGTTAACCGAAAATTTCGTTAACCGAATCCATTGTTTCAATGGGATATTGGATAATTGGTTCCAGCTCACCAAAAAATACATACAAAGTAAAAAAAAATGCAGTAAAGTACACTTACTTTGAGGTGTGTATGTAGAAGGCTCCTGGTTGATGATGATGATGGGAATTAGAAGTGGGGAGGATGAGAAGGGAGAAGAAAAGGAAGTGGGGATGGAGGAAAAATCACATTCTAGGGAACTCATGCACCAATAAAATTTTAAGTTCACTAGGTCTAATTCAAGATTATTTTCTTTAAATGAACACTGCACTGTGCTATATATTGTCAATATGTTAAATAAATTTCAGAATGACCAATAATTGTACTGTAAAAACATAAAAATACTCTGTGTTCAAGAGAGCCACAGGTAAGATGTTTCCTCCACTGAACAGACACAAACTGACGCCTTGGTGGGTGAGTGAAGTGGCTGATGGGCGCACCAAAAACTAGTTCCCAGTACTGCTATTATGTTAAATAAGTGTTAAAATGACTAAGAATTTTAATATAAAACTTGGAAAAATATTGAATAACACAACCTTCTCGATATTTACTCCAATGGAAATGAATATAAGCCCTAGAACCGGTTATATATATATATATATATATATATATATATATATATATATATATATATATATATATATATATATATATATATATATATATATATATATATATATATATATATATATATATATATATATACAGTGGGGTATGCTATAACGAACGGATCCTACTACGAATATTCCTATAACGAACGGTTTTACCTATAAAATTGAGAATGCTATAACGAACGCAACTCCTACAACGAACGCGGATGAATACGGGACTATTTCGCCTGGCGCATGAATATTGTTGTACCGCGACCCACAACAAGAGCGTCAGGCGCCATCTTTGTCTCATTGTGTAGCCAGTGCACCACTGTTATTGTTGAAATTTCGTCTTTTGATGTGGAAATTCGCGTTATTTGTATAACTATTTTGTTATACAA